TATTTCTTAGAAATGAAAATTCAGCTGTAGGTCAAAGCTAATCCGTCGTTTTGATTTCTTAAAAAAGAAGAATCGTTTCATAGTACTGGCATTCGACGATTTTGAAAGGAGAAAGATTCTATGATGATTTCATGACAGAAAAATATCATCAAATTGCATCTATAGTATATTAAAATAAAGCTTAAAGCTTTACAAAAACAGCTATAAAAATGCCATGTCGATATTCCTAATACAAAATGGCCGGTGGTGAATCGCAACGAACAATGTTTCTACTTATCCAATTTTCAAAACAAAAAATTCTAAGACAATTTCATGACATAAAAGTATTTTAAAATACGACTTATGATACATCAAATTAAAGCTTAAATTATAATAAAAATGACTGCAAAGACGCGCCATTGATATTCTAAAGACAAAATGATCTCTTTCCAATTTTCCTTACAAAAGCCTTGGTTACTGGTCACCGTACAAGGTATTTCTTATTTTTCTCAAATTCCTCTGCCAGTCTAGTGTAATTCGGAAAGTTTCACGGACGAAATGGATCAGCAGAAACGACCACAGTAACCCGGTGAATGCAACCGTTCCAACAGTCATGCATATAAAGAAATTGGAAGTCCGTGCGGTTGAGTATGCGTTCCGTTGCAACCGCGGTTGCATCCAGCGCCATTGTCTCACGTACGCTAGCCCAGGATCAACTTTTCTCCCTCTTGTATATCTTGTTTCCAGCTTTTTCACGAAAACGGAAGTTGCTTCCCCGTCTTTCTCGATACGGTCTGCCAGCTCTTTCTTACCGTGCAAGATAAGTTGTCGTCTTTAAAATATTTGAAGAATTATTAACTATTCCCTGACGCACGGACTAATTAGCGTGAAAAATTCACCTGAATTCAGTCAAGATTCATTTAGGGATAATTACCCCGTTACTCATCAAGCAGCCTCCAATTAGCTGACTCGATATGTAGGTACATGAGATAGAAACAGAAAATAATAATATCCTTTACGAAAAATGAAAAAATTATTTTAGAAACACCGGTGAAATTAAAAAGTTAATTTCAATTCTTCACTTGTGTTCACGCTCGGCCAGCTGAAAGTTCCATCAGAAAGTTTTTAGACTCGTACAGTAAATTACAACCCCAAGTTGAAATGCTTTTTACCCGCGGTTGGTTAAAGATATTATCTTCGAGTACATATAATTCCTTTATTTGCAAAGTTTTCTGGAGACACCACGAATGCTCCTTTTTTACTTCTAAAGGTCTCCGAATTAAAGAAATTATTGTTTTTTTTAGTTAGGTAAATAATTTTAAATTGTTATAAATTTGTTATTAATGGACAGGATGTTTCATTTACCTTCTACTAATTGTCGCATTTTAGGAGGTACAATGTTACACAGAGTACTCTGGCTTTAATTTGTGTAGCACTATTTTCTACGACCTTTGACTTCTAGTTGGAACATATATCACATTAAGGAGTAGCAACTCCTCTAACTAAGAGATGTACTGCTACGCCAAAGAGTTGTAAGTTTCAAGACACAATTGTAAGCAAAGGCTTTTAGAAGTTCGGTTTATCAAGTAACGTACTGCTACAGCAATAATTAAATAAGGGTACAAGGCAAATAACATTATCATTTTGTATTATATTTGAACTAGCAATTATCTATAAAAAGAACGAAGAGCAACGACAATTTCTCAATGAAATTTTCGCCATAGCGCGGTCAGAATATAAAATTAGATGATCAATATTGATCAATACAAATCAATACAGTACCGATCAGGAAAATAACGCGACAAAGAACGACACTTCTTTTGTTTGCCCTTACTGTATTTTTAATAGAACAAAGTAAAAACATCGATGTCGAAGCTGGAACAATGTCCTGAAAGCCTTTCCATTGACGATCGAGCGCGTTGAAATTATAATTGAAATTTTTGGATCTCCATTAAGCCCGTGCTTTAATGAATTTTGTTCGGGATTACAATCCAGCCAGATTGATGCTTCAAGTATCTGCAGATTCATTATCAACGAAATTTTCGATCGATGGATAATCTCGTAACGAGGTGAACTACCTTCGAAATCCATCGTGTAATTTATCGATAGTTAATTCAACCGATTCAAGGATCTAATAGCTTCGTTTCGAGTGCTTCGAACGTCTCTGACATACGAAGAAAGTTTTATTGCTAGAAACAGAAAGTAACGTACCGCACCATCAGGGTACGTTTTCATTGTTCGAACTGGATGACGTGCATACAGAAAGTTTCGTGCTTGCGTTTGCCATAAATCTGATAGAAACGTTAACCAGTCAGCACCTTGCGACATCTTTGTTTCGTGCGAAATTTCATTGAACGTTGAGAAAATCTGAGGTACATTGAACCGTCGTGTCGGTCTGGCAGGATATCACGAAGCTAGGTAACCGGAAAAAGCGGCATGATATCACGTATTCATCGGTGCTTGGGTCGTTGGAGGCCGTTCGCAGGAAGCTTTCGATTTTACGAGCGATTCGCGTATTCCGCGACTCGTCGCACGCTTCGCTAACTCAATCGGGGGCTGCGAAGCGAGCCTCGCACGAGAACCGCATACGAATTTCTTCAAAAACGTTCCTGTTACACGCTTCGCCATCTACTTTCCTTGCTTACCATCCTCAAGGACTTTAGGCTATCTTGTACTTGGGAAAAAGTTGACGTGCTTCGTTCTCTTTATCGTAAGTCTTTTTACGTTAAGAATATTCCAGGGGGCTTTGTTAGCCTCGTTTTCTCCAAGGTTTAAACTTTAATTTGATGTATCGTAAGTGGTATTTTCAGATACTTTTATGTCATGGAATGATATTAGAATTTAAACATGTCGAAATTGGGTTTTTCACAGAGGATAATAACAGTGCTCGTTGTGATCCACCATCCGCCATTTTGATTTAAGAATAACCATGAAACGTTTATATAGGTTCTTTTGTAAAGTTTCAAGCTTTATTTGAGTATATCGAAAGGGTAATTTGATGACACTTTTCTGTCATGAAATAATCTTAGAACTTGTTCCTTTCAAAATTATGAATTTCCTACGAAAAACCCTTACCTATAATGCAAAAGAAATCTCTGCTGATCGTCTTCTTTAAATACAATTTTCTTAAATAGTACTTTTCAATAGAAGATCTTGATAAAAAGTCCCACGGGAAGTGGTTCCGTCGATATCCTCCCCCCCAACAAAGGCTAACCCCTTTAAAGACCATCCTCGTCACCCAGTTTCCGAATTTTCGACTTCTGGTCGTCATTCAACAGAAAAAAGGAAAAGACAAATAAAATAAAATCGAACCACCAGTACACTGGTTCGATGCACACAATCGATACATTGTGTGCACGTCGTGAAGAAGCGACGTCGAGATTGGCCCGTTTCTCCGAGCACTTTATTCCCATCCCGCTTCGCCTTTTCTCGTATTTGTACTTCCGGTTAAAGTACGCCAAGAAAACGTCGAACGAGCAAGTCTCCACGTTCTGGCAATAATTCCTCCCTTTTTGTCCCCTCTGTAGCGAAAAACCTTGATCATTATTGACCCATTAAAATAATTTTTCATTTTCAACTGATTTTTGAGCTCGTACAAATTCAAATGATTTTTAATCAATTTTTAAGGTGGCTGCTAATTACAAATTATTTAAAATAATAAACAATGATAGTTACGTAATTTAATTCCTCAAAATCATCATGATTCCCATGAAAATTCTTCAAAATTTCAGAAGAAGAAAAGAAGTTTGTAATGTACATAATGCCAAGCCGGTAGTTCCTCTTTGAAGAAGTAATCTTATGACAGAAAAAATGTAGTTACAGAGGAAATTGTGATGATAAAGTTGAGAAGTGAAATGGAGATTCCTTGGAAAATTGTATTGTGAATTATGGAAATTATGATCGTTAATTATATTTCATTACCAGGGTCATACTGAAAATCTTCAGGAATTTAATATTTTCATTTTAGAGTGCCGCAATTACGTTTCAAGTACAATAAATAATATAATAAAAATTTAAAACATTTTTCACTTAACTAATTGCATAAATTAATATTGAGAATGAGTATGCAAATTAAATTCAAGCATCCACATTCTTTATTTAATTAACAGGATTGTACTCTCTGGAAAGACCTCAAGGAACTTATTCTAATTTTTAGCGAGTGATAATTATCTGATAAAAAGCACACTAATGGTGAATTGAATTTTATCGCCAGTTGAATGATTGATTTTTTTGTGTTGAGGGAGAGATAGGGAGTTTCTTATAGAAAGTTTCTTAGAAAGAAATTTCCCTAGGGTGCTTGATAGCAACGCCTTTGGGTCAGAGTTAGCTTCGTGTAACGCTATACCCTATACTCGAGTTCGGTTAATAGTTAGCTGGGTCAAATCGATTCGATTTGCGTTAACTGCTACAATTGTATTTTGTAACGTGACGCTTCAGATAATTACCAAATTAGTTAGTCAAAGTTAGTAGGGAAATTTGATAATTTAATGAAGGAATTTAATTAAAGATATAAGGATACTTTCATATATGAATATTTAAGAAAATTATTAGAAAATTTGAGTAGACAATTTTATTTATTTAAATTATTCAAATAACAAATTAGAAAAAAATTATTTTATTAAAATAATATAATGGCTCTATAACGATTGTTATTTAATATAATATTGATATGAGTATATTTTGTAATTATTATAGATAAGTACCTTAATTACTTCCCAATTTCTTCATTAACAGCTTCACTCCTAAAGATAGCTGAATTTCCAAAGGGTTCTAAATTAACTCATTAATTACCAAAGAATTTTAATTAAATAATAAGAATTTTACTAAATTTTAGTTATTGTATTACTTTAAAAAATACTTGATTTTACCAAGCAGAATGACTTAATTAAAAATTAAGTAAAAATGAAGCAGTTGAACAAGTAACATGACTGGCAGTTAATATATAGTTGTTAAGTGTTGAAGGAAAAGGTGGAAGTTTCTCACGCGATTTCTAACACGATAATTTGTTGTTTATGTTTCAGGATGGCGCATATGTGAAGGAGAGCGATATGGACGGGTTGGGTCTTTGCCCTTACGATCCGAGGCACAACAGTACGGCTGTATTTGTCGGTGAGTTATTTTTTTACATGTTAATATATTATAAAAATAAATACATACAGATTATTAAATAGCACTAAAATTACAAATTCAATATACAATAGTTTTATAAAAGTGATTTAGCTTTTTAATATTCATTAAAAAAATTAATTACAATTGAAATTTATAATGATACATATATTTTATAAATGGTTTTATATAATAAGTAGAATATTATTTGATAAAATTGAAATTAATCTTATGATGGATGATGGAGAACAGCGTAGAGCCAAAGGTTCCCAGAATTCAGAAGTTAGCTTAAACTTTGAAATAGTCTTTCAAAAGGGTACAGTTTACATGAGTAAACCTCGAACAATTTTAATTGCAACAGTCCAGCCTGCGCGAGAGCCTTAAGGGTTTAATCTGAGCGAAATTCAATTTTCCTGTCAAGCTTCAACTTGGATCGAGTTACTTTTGCATAAGCAACTTTCTTGTGTCGTGAACAATTTAACAAATAATTAAGGATTCAACACGGAACATCTGGGATTCTGTACTCGAGATGTCTTCGTGGGGATTTCAGTCGAAAATGGCTAGGGTGAAGATTGCTAACTTTTCGATGGGGTAATTGGGTAATGAAAATGTTAATTTGTATGCACAACATCACTATCTTCCTGGGATATTTATTTATTTATTTTTTTTTCAGAGTAAAAATAAGAATTGTCAGAATTATTCCAACACTGCTGGGAAATAATATGCACAACTTTGACACGGTTTACAAACGTACAATTTATTTAATAGCCACACGTTTCGCTAATTTATGCTAAACGTTGCCCTTATCATTGGTAGTAAATAACGCGTGTCCCAACGAGAAGTTTGCTTTCTGATCTGATCTCTGCTTGTGTTTACTGATTATTAGACACGTAATAAATATTTTAAAACGTTCTTGTTTTTTCCGTCCCGGTTGTGATATTTTTGATAAGTGTGCTTCCTTCGCGGTTTTATATTTTTAAATCAGGAATATGTATAATTATACATCCTTCAGTTCAAATTGATTTTATTATAAATAGTTTTGCGCAATTTGAAATAGTAATTGTTGTTTTGAAACCTGAATCTATTCTAAGCTACTAGAATAGATGATGTCAGTTGTGTTTACGATTGAGTCGGCCATATGGAATATTTCAGTGAAGTCTAACAAAGGTGAAATATGCGGAAGTGCAGTGCAGTTGCATCGTTTGCTGCATGTCGATACGTTGCGTGAAAGTCGTCTCACGAATGACCACCTACTGTTGTACATAGATCCTTTTATTGCAGTATAATATCAGGTATTCATGTTGTAATGCCTAGCTAAAGGTATTTGTAAACAATGAATAATTTCACATGAGATACCTTACAATACACATTCATCAATTATTGATTTAATTAATAATTTATTATTATCCAAAATTCAATCATTTCATTTTCAGGTTCCCATTTGATATTTTATCAAATTAATACAATAATAATTATTCTGCTCAGAATTTGATTTCATTTCTTCCAATTATTACGCATATTATATTAATTTTTTATAGATTGATATAACGATAATTCATATTAATGTATAATATTATGAATTGCACTCTGTTAATTAACCCTCGGACGACGGACCAATTCTGTATTTCATTTTATTTCAATTTTCTAAGTTTGGCTGCTTTAATCGTGAGTGTACATACACGTTTCGCAAATAATGTCTGAAGGTTTCATTTATCATAAACGTTTTATTTAACGCATACGTCATATCACTATCTGCCTTTATCTTGAAATATTCGCGGCTTCCTTCATACCGTATATATTAATTAAAGTGTCAAGAACGAGGCCGAGCTCTTATGTTTCTGTCATTTACCAATACTTTCACCGTTGTTGCAGCTTGTTTGCTGTTCACTGACACCTCGCTTAACGATGTTGTACTTCCAGTTATAGGAAATTAGATTTTCAATTAGGTATCAAGCTGACGGGATCTAATTAATTATGGCTAGAATATACGCAAAGCTGAAATTAGTATATGTCACGTTGTAATTATTTTATTTAAAAATAAAATTAATTGTCTTCGTTCGAAGAATTCCAGTAAGTGGAAATTTTATCACCACGGTGCAGTCTAATTAATATCGTTATGATATTTTCGTATGATCAGGTTTTTGGAATTACATTCGTTTCGCTCATTTTGCTATCGGTCGCATCTTGTTTACAAGTAATACATCTTAATTTTGCATTTAACCGACACGATAGGGTGTGATCGCGTGACTAAATTGCATGTTAAGTGACCTACTCCTGAAAAAGAAAAGATAAAGCCTGGCTGTACTTCAAGAGAAATATGCAGAATCGTGACACGGTTGTGTCATTGCATTATACGAATTTTTCTGACCATCCTCATGTACTCTAATTAATAGCAATTATAATTTAGAAATTAGATGTAACATCTAACGTATACACTAATTAATACTGATTACAATAAAAAATTAATGATTTTTTATTACACCTACTATCAGGAGTAAGTGATTAGGAATTTTTACTAATTTTCATGACATTTTATTAGCAATCTATTGGTATAGATATCAGGTCGAGGATTCTCTTTCACCCTATAATTTTTCATAAGAGTACCATGCACCAGATTGTACATTGCATCCTTAATTCACGATGTACTCATTTTTCAAGCATAGTATATCTCAAACAATGAATTAGACCCCGTAACGAACGAAATCTATTCATATACCACGTTGCATTTGAATACCGTGATACCATCTCGTACATTTTGCGTGAAATCGTTCTGGATATGGATATTTCATTCGCGTGTACACTCGGGGAATGATAATATTGATCATTACTGGAATGAAGTCTGATATGGTAATATAGTCATCGTTGTTTTGCACGAATATAGTGTTCCTTACAAGGCTAATTAAATTTACCTATGTATTTTTAACTACGAACCCTGAACTTTCATGTGAGGCGACGTTTTTAGAACTCATCATTTATTTTTGAATGTCAGAAGACAGGGTAATTCTGACCTAGACCTTTGAAAATTTAAAGCCGCATAAAGAAATTTTGAAAATTTTTAGAATTGTTATTTTAGGTGCTATAAAAAAATTTCAAATTCAATTTTCTCAAAAACTGATTCATATCTCGTAAAATTGTTTTCCGCATTTTTGACAATTGATTTTTCCCCATAGAATCATCCCGTTCGTTTGCTGCTCTTTTTTGACGAAATACTCGTTTATATCCTGCCTGGTTCGAAGGAGCGGGCCGGAAATGGAAAACGAGAAATTTATTAGAGCAGAAATGTATACTTTGATTCACAGTTTCCTTGGGATACGAAATATTTGTCTCCATACATCAGATCCATACACTTGAATATTCTCTGTCTCGTCAATCTCTCTATCGACGTATTCGTCCATCGTGGATGAAATAAAAAAAGAGCAGACACGGGAAAAGATATCCAAAGCTGGGGATTCTCCTTCCATATCGCGTCTATCTTGATGAATGACGGGAACAATGGGCCGTCATAAATCAAGTTCTGCGTAAACACGTGAATAGGGAAATCATAAATATTCAACGTGTATCCTTCGGTGCGTTTTAATCGGTAACTCAGGAGGACGGGAACAATGTTCTGCTCAGTTTTAAGAGAATAATATTCTGTTTCAAGTGGATAATTGTGCGGATGAATGCAATGAAATTGGAAAATAAATTTGGGGAAGTTGAGGTAGGATGAAGATGGGAAATCTTCTGAGACAATTTCATGACTGAAAAGTATCTGAGAATAATACTTATGATACGTTAAATTAAAGATTAAAGTTTCATGAAAATAACCGTCCGAATGCACCGTGGATAGGTTTAATAGAAAATGGATGAGATTAAATTGTAACAAATAATGATATCGTGATTTATGAAATATTTGATTTCGGAACTGGAGAATTCTGAGAAGATTTCATGACAGAAAAGTGTCATCGAATATGACTTGTAACACACATCAAATGAAAATATAATCTTCCCTTAGCTAATCCCTTTGCAATTCTAATTCCCTTTGAATACCTTTAGTATGAAGCAACTGGTAGCCAACTGAAACAAACTCGAAATAACTTACCTGTCCCAAAATTGTTAAAAATTTAGCAAGATGAACACATTTGGTAGCAAATGATTTTTTCAAGTGGATACAATTGGCTAAGCTGGCGATTCAGGTCATTCTTTGTTAACAGAGCACGCCCACCTTCATAAAATATAGGCTTTCGAGGAAAAGGAACGTTTGATAGCGATATTTACGAGCATGGCCTACAATCGCACACGTGAAAAACACCACTAGAATTCTATCTCTTTGTTATAGAATACAACGATAATCATAAATTTGTCTGTCCCCGCGTGCGTAAACCGCAGATGATAAAACGACGAAGGCAGCTGCAAATGATCAATGTTGGAAATTCGAATTTCTACTGTAATTAGACGATGATAAAAAATAGTAAAAGAAAAGGGAACGGAATTTCCTTCATTTATTTACACGTCCAACTTATACTTCTGGTATCATTTATTTCCAACTTCATAAAACTTTCCTCCAGAAGCTAAATTCAATTAATCCCAACGGTTCGAAAATATATGAGGATTATCGGGTGATTTTGACCTACCCTAATAAAATTTAACAAGCGAGCCGAAATTGGTCAGACGTTGTTTTACGAACACGGTTTATTTTTTTTTAATTTTTTTTTTTTTATATTTACTGTCGGAAAAAGCTGCTAATTTACGAGCTGTGAAAAGCCGGGAAATTCTTCAGACATAAACGAAACGAGCTATGAATAGGAAAATAATTATTTAATGCATAACAAGTCGGATTTGAGTGTACGGTGTTGCAGTTCAGAAAACGGAAGTATATCTTGTTCACATATGCAGCAGGTCGGAATGCAACGAGTGCATCCGTTTCCGGAAGATTTTGATGCATTTTTCGTATAGCCACTGAAAGAGTTTCTCATTCTTTGGTTTATTTTTATTCAAGAAATTATCAAAATTAAATGATATTAATTTTAATAAAAATTCAAAATTATTAGAATTGCGTTCTTTAAAATAAAGTTCAATGAAAAAATTTGTCCGTTTAACGTTTCATCAGACAGATGGAAATTCATCGCCCTAATAAGGCTTTAGGTAGTCGTGAAATTACCGTACGTGCACGTCGACTCCCTCATTTATTAGAACAAGCAAATGAGCTCGACGTATTCATACGTCGCTTGAATAATGACTATTTATGACGTCTACGATATGTACATACGTGTGATAATACCATAAGGAGGCTGCATTCGGGACAAAGTACGTCACGATTATCAGCAACAACAGATATGTTCTTGGTCTTATCAAATTTCCAACTGGATAATTCATAACTCGTGTAACACAACTTGACTGTGTTTGCATTTCATCGTAAAGGTATTAATGGATTTTTTTTCGTGATTTGTTTAAAATAGAATAGCATTTTTAAAATAAAATTTGGTGATTTTTTAATTCATTTATTATTTCATCAAAATGCAATAAAATAATTTGTCACTCATTTTGAATACAATTCTTTATTTTTTTATTATTAGCATTTTCTCTCTCTCTTTTTTTTAAGTTTTTGGAGTTTAAAATTTTTCAGAGTGCTCGTTAATACATTTAATAATAAAATATGAAAAATGTGAACATTGTTACTCATGTTTTCCACTCATTTTTCCGTACAAGTAAACTTCTCGTGCTTTCCTCTAGCAGTAGCTAATAAAATTTCTATTCAATTAAACTCTGTTAAAGCAAAGTTGCTAGTCCTGTAACAGTATCGCTTCTGTATTAACCTTCTTATCTCACACTCTCGGTAGCTCGTGTTAAATTCTCGGATACCTTTAAATCCGTTTAGAAAATTTCCAAACTTCATCATCTTTTTCGATGATACCATCCACTGAGAAATATGGGACAAAATTTACTACAGAGACTAATTAATTTATCGTAATTAAATTTCAGAAAATTTAATTGAAATAAAAGTAGGATTAATATGTGTACTTTTGATGTAATTTTTTTTTTATATTAATTATCAGGTGAGTCACAATATTAATGCATAAAATATCTCTGTTGATTCTGTCGATACGAAAAAAGTATCTCGAGGAAAGAACGTTTTATTTGCCAGGAACAAATAATATGATAAAGATAATTCTTTCCTCAGAGTAAATGTTTTCGAAATTTTTCGTTGACTCAGATTTTCCTTCAAATATAATCTCCGTGTTTCTTTATTCAAGTTAAATGAAATAATATTTCCGTTTCTTAATTAACAATTAGTTCTTCAGAATGAAAAATACAGTGTAGGTTATTGTGCTTCGTTTCGGTAACAGTTTCATGACAGAAAAGTATTATCAAGTATCACTTGTAGCACGTCAATTTAAAGCTTAAAATGTTCTGAAAATTACTATACAAATACCCCTTGAATATTCTTAATATCAATTGACTTATTGACCATCAAAGTAGGCAATGATAAATTTCAAAATATAAAAATTGCACTAAAGTGCAAGAATGCATTTGAATCGTGCAACCATTTTTTTTTTATTTTTCAAAAATTCGAACAGCAAACAGAAGAGAACAAGAGAACTAAGACTCGGATCGAAGGGGATGAACGATCCGTTGTTGGAACTGGTAAATCCATCAGTGTTACAGGGTTAAACCCCAAATACGCGATGCACGCTTAAGACAAGGCTTCCTATAGCCACTGGTATGCACATCCGATGCATATTACACGTGTACCAACTATTCATGATCCTCTTGTTAAATCAATGTCATTAAACCTTCCGCTACTAACAAAAATATATCCAATTAAATGAAATCCACTAATTAACCATTTCCCGTATATTGTGCCTACCTCTTTAACAGCTCTAATTGATTAAAGTAAGTGGCTGTCGAACGAGACAAAATAAATTTCATACATGACAGACGTTTCCTTCTCATCCATATCCAATTAATTTAAGTGTAATCTTCGAACCGATTCCAATCAGAGAAATTCGTTAATTAACGCGACGATGACGGAAGGAGGGGAGGATGTCTGCGAATTATCAGGTGGGCCAATTGTATGATGTCTCGTCGGCGCTAATAACAGGCGCACAAAGAAGCCGCCACGTAACCGGAAGTTTCTTCCTCCAGTCGTATGGGTATTACCAGGAGGACCTTGTGTTGGGTCGTGGCAAGGCTCAAGGTAGATTTGTAGCCTGCAACGAGCACGTTCATCCCCTAAGTCTAACGTCTACTTTGGCCCCGGTTATATATGACCAACGGCGGATGCTATATACACTTATCGCGCGCATACGTTGGCCAGCCTCAAATCCCATCGTGCTTTTTGAACGTGAAATATGGAAGACCCGCGAGCACGCCACCAGACCGACCACCGCACACCCAACCTTTTCGTCGGATCCTCTGATTCCACCGCGGCTGTATTGGGCTAAATGTAGTCTCTCTGTGAGAAGCAGTGGATGGTTTTAACCGTGGCTTCTTGCTTTATCCATGCTTTCTATACGACGCAAGAATATTGGCCGTTTACGTGAGTCCGTGGACAGAAAATGATTCGAACCTTGGATATTTTCAGTTTATCAACTTGGATTTCCAAGGAAAAATTGGCGGGAAATTTGTTGAAACGCGAGGGAGATTTTCAAACCGCACGACGGCTCATGGAAAATTAATTCGAAAGCGTCTCGGAATTATAGAGGAGCTATTCAAGCGGGTAAATGGGGTAGAACAGATGACTGACGCAATGGTTTTATGAATGTTTCAGAGGGACAGCTGTACGCCGCGACAGTGGCCGACTTTTCCGGTGGAGAGCCACTGATTCACAGGGAGAAGATCCGCACCGAGCGCTCCGATCTGAACCAGCTGAACGGTAATGGAACTTTGATTAATTGTATTCTAGCCGCCTGGACAACTGAGTGCCCTGGGTGCAGTTATAGAACGGAGTTGCGCCCATACCTGACCCGGATCCTTAACAATCCCTGGTCTTAAATCAGAAAAACAACCGTGTTGTTGGAAATGTAAAACACGCTGATTACATTGGAATATTCATTCGTTCTTTAACATTCCAGAGGTTCAGTGTATTCGGCAGAATGGCGAGAGCTGAGAAATTAGTTAGCAAAAGTATATTTTATTTATTTTCAGAAACATGTTATCAGTACTTAAAAATTATATTCATACGAGAAGATAGTCGATTTAAAAGCATTCTAGTGATCGAAACATTTGATATTTATTTAATCGACATTTTAATGGAAACCCGCCGCATCGAAACGGTTCAGCAAATTTCCATTCTATTTTTGAACGGTTGTATGTATCTCTCCATCAGGATACACGGTTTTTACGTGAAAAATTTATCGCTTGTTATTGTATTTGTTACAGTGGATGATGCTTAAACGATGTAAGAAGCTTTGCATAAATTACGCGCTGCAATTTACCGTATCCTACCCTATCATTTTTTTTTTTCTCTCGATATTTATGCTCGTTCACGATGCAAATTTTCTATAAATTACGTAATCTGTTTCGAGCTTATCTCCCCGAATGCTTGATCGATCGCAATTTCCCTCATGGTAGAAATTTTCAAAGTTTTTGCTGTTCCGGTACAAATTCATGACATAAAAGTACTTTAAAATAATATTTGTGTTCCATATAATTAAAACTTCAAATCTACTGATAATTACTACATAAACAACCCTCCAATATTCCTAACACTAAATAGCTGATTGTGGATCGCAACGGACAATGGCTCGATCACCTTAACCCGGGTATCCACTTGTATCAAACGCCCGTATCGTATCACCGTTACGTATCCATTTGAAGAGGCAGATATCGTTACATGTCACAGCGTGCTACGGCTCGGTCAATATTTCTTCGTTTCTTGAAAGAAACGATTCGACAATAAGACTGGGCCACTACAGGCGAGGAGTTTCGGTTTGCTGCGTGCTGTTCCTTTGATACGGAGATACGCAACGGGCCCATCCGAAAAATTTCTCGGTTCTTTGCCGTTGCACCGAAGGAAAGGTTCATGCGTTTGCACTTGACATAGCGTTTCGTGTCGTCACTTGGGTTTCAAGTTCAATAAATTAACATTTCAATTTATTTTAAATCTTGCTGTATTATTGGACTCATTTCAAAATCGATTTAATTATTTATGAAGTTAATCTAATTTAATTTAGACAAATTTTATCGTCTAAATATGTTTAAACATATCAATTATCTTCTGTACATAAAACATAATCGCTTCTGTGATTATTAAAAAAGGACAATGTTAATTTTACAGAGATTTTTCCGTTTCCGAGTATCGAAAGTTTACCTGTTGGTCTGTAATACGAAGGTAAGCAATTGTCGGTTTCTTGCCGTTCAAATGAAAGATTCGGAGATCTCTTGGAGCGTAAAAACAACAATTTGAAAACCCAGGCAAAGACCCGAAATGTTGTGTCCATCACCAGTCATTTTATGTTGAGAATACCCAAGGGGCATTTATGTCATTATGTTCAGTAAACTTCAAGCTTTAATTTAATGTACTTGAATTGCTATTTCACAAAACTTTTCCGTCATGAAATCTAACTTGTATGTCGACAGGTCCAAATTTCGTTAGTTCCTTCGCCTATGAGGAGTACGTCTTCTTCTTCTACCGTGAGACAGCAGTTGAATACATGAATTGTGGCAAGGTAAGTCTCTCTCTCAGCATACAATGAAAAGAATTGAAGGATTGAGTTGTTGAAGACTGTCGTTTGTGTGTTTTAGGCGGTGTACTCACGAGTGGGTAGAGTGTGCCAGCACGACAAGGGCGGACCTCATGCGTTCAGCGACAGATGGACGAGCTTCCTGAAAGCGAGGCTCAACTGTTCTGTGCCCGGCGAATACCCTTTCTATTTCAATGAAATACGTGAGTATGCCTGCATGTACACATCGTATATACACGTGTGCTTTTGGCTCGTAAGTTCGACAGAGCTATATGACGTTTGCCGGGCTTCCCGTTTGAGTGCACTTCTCTTATGGTCTCTGATGGACAGAGAAAGGGTTGTACCTTGCACGCTATCGCTTAGGATAAGTAATATAGGGTTCAAACAATTTTGCTATCAAGTAGGAAAGAATTATTGGGTGGTAGAAACAGTTTTATATTTTTTAATATTATAAAATCAATTTCTCGAGGGCAATCTTTCTGGATTAAAATTAAAAATAAAGTTGAAGTAGATTGAAAGATAAAAATGGACCATGTTATTAAAGTATAAATGATCATAAAATTTCGAGGGCTGTATTTATTAAACAAATTAAAATGCAGCAAAGTGATGACTTAAACCCTTATTAATTTTATGTACATGATATTATATTTCATTGGGAAATCAATTGGTGATTGATTTAGCATAGAACGACCCCATAAATAAAACAGTCTGTACTCCTATGATTTTATTTCTCAGACTACTTTTAATGGTTTCCATTGAGCGTGAAAACGATCGTATCCGCGATGTGCAATTATGACTTAACGATAAGGTGACGAGGAAAACGGATTTGATTGTACGTTCGACCTCATCCAATATCCATTACACTCCTCTTTGCTCTTTTCCGTCGTTCCATGCTTTCTGCTCAGCAATTTCACGTTGCTGACCCACCGATTTCGTTTCTACGGGCTTTTTCGTCCGGCCAAACTAGTTCCCCCTTATCACCGCCACTTATTGCATTATCATTCCGACGGTCGTCGTAGGACCCCGTACTTCGTCGATTTTCCAGCTTTTCTGCTGCGTCATGCAAATAACGAATTGAACGGTAAACGATATTTCTTTTGCTCCGTTTGAAGATTCCGCGAAATTGTAAGGCAATCAAGAACGGTTCAATTGTCAAATACACGTGTCCACTCGGTCCATTAAAATTGTATCGTTCTGAAGGGCCGTCGAGAGAACGGGCTTCCGTTTACAATGGTCACTCACGTGTCATAAACAAAGTTTTTAATCAACGAATTTTCAAAGTCGAAACGGGTCAAGCGTTAATTCAACGAGGAATGATGAATTTGTTATGACACGGAGTGGCTACGATGGAGTGCCATTAAACTGTTGCTGGGCTTAACTGACTCAAATACTTGGAACAAAATGAAAAAATTTTACAGCGCCTCTTTTTTTTTTTTACTAAAAATATTTTTTTTTATTTATACAACTGTCTGTTAACGTACAATAGGAAAGCAAACAGTATTAACTGACTGGCAGATGATTTGTGTTTTCGCATTGAAACAATTTTCCGGATAAAATTCGCATTGAAACGTGTTCCGATACCACGGAACACGGAAATAACTGAAAAATTCAATTTACTTGCAAACCGAATCAGTTGAATGTAAAAGTGTTCAATTAAACGTATTGAAGGCTGCATTCGAATAAGAATTTCATTTTACATCAATATTTTCTGTTTGTAACATTAATGAAGAGGTTATTTCGTTTGAATTATTATGCATAGGAGCTTTTAATGGAAAAATAAGGGGAAGGGAGATTGATTGATACTTTATTGACTCGTAATCACTTTAATCGATTGAAAAGCCTTCAGAACATGAACCCCATAGAATACCTCACACTATCAACATCAGGCAAATAACTTGATAACATCATGAGACGTCAGGCTGAAAACGTTAGAGCCATAGACCAAGTATTAATTAATTTAATTTGTGCTGTGATCTAATCCTTGTCGCCTGAAGACGGACGCCTAATGTTTACTCTAAAATAGTGATGGATGTGACCAAACGAACAAATCGAAAATACCTGAAGATTTTATGGTTTCCGAAACTCACAGTAGAATCAATGAACCCCAAAGAAGATCCCGTGCCGCCATCATCCCCCTGTCCCAACTCTGGAATCAGCGTGTCGCGCTGCCAGATAGGTATTCACCGGCACGTTCAGCGGTTTTCGGTTTCTCGGTGTGCTTCGTCACTCGATAAGTCGCTTCGGTTGCCTATGGAGCAGCGAAATGAACCAGCAGCTTCGAGTGCGGAACACAATGGCTGCTCACCGACGACCCGCAGGATCGAACGTCAACGTTGGATAGGGACAGAAGAGCATAGGGTCGATGGCGGTGGGGTAGGAAAAAGGGGGGCGAACGGGGATGTGGCTGGTTCTCGTATAAACGTAGAATATTGTCGCCGCACATCGAACTGAAATCCCTATCCGGCCGAAGGAAAGTTGGCTACGGTCCAGCTGGTTTCAGCCGGCTGTGGATCGTTGCCAAATCGCAGGTCCGGGATGCTATATCCACCGATTGCTCGGACAACCCAGCTCCCTCGACGTCTGTCTCATCCTACCACCCTCTGCCCTTTCCAGATGACGACCGTTGCAAGAAAAAATGGCCGGGAGCACCGGGAAATGTAGACGGATTGCCGGATAAAAAGGTTCATGGGGAAATAAACTAGTACTCGCTGGAGAACTGATGGGATCACCTTTGCCAACCAACTGGCAGGTTGCAAAGGGTCCTGGGACTATTAAGGTTGATTTCTCGATTGTTCAAATTGATACAAGAATGTATTTTGTTCTTTGATTTTAATTTAAGGAGAGAAAAATGAATAGAATACATTTTTGGAGCGCGGACCATGAAGAGGACTGAAAAATTACTCATCTTTCATGATTTTTTTCTTTTTAAATGATGAAATATATAAAAAATCTGTTATATACAATTTGTTGTGCATATCTTAAGCTACACACTAGTATTTTTGAATTTTTAATCCTCAATAAAATGGCAGAGTTATAGCCTCACAACGACGATCCTATTTAGGAAGCCTCTTCAAAAGTAGCTATTTCGAAGCAACTGTAACTCTTCCATTTTCTTGGGTAAAGGCAATCCAAAAATATTTTCCTATACTTCAGGATGTGTGATTCATCAATTTATTTATCTTATTTATGATAATCTTATGTGATTCTTATTTATCTTTTTCGATTCCTTAATTAAAATTTCACTCTGAAAAGGATATTTATTTCTTGGTTTTCCATTTGAAAGAAATTTCATTGGTTAGAAATTCCGTGAAATAAGTAATTTCCCGTCAGGATATATTCGAAGTCAATTTCAAATGAATCGTCGAGCGTGTATTTTGACCCTCTGTGAAAACGTTCATCCGGAGGGCTTAATAAACCCAGCCTTTTATAGCGTATTAACTTCGATGCCGAGCTTATTGAAATTAATCCGTTTCTGTTGAAGACAAAAATAAAATTCCATGAAACAAACAAGCTGAACGATGCTTCGTACATTGTGATTAAAAACTTAGCCCCTGGTGATACAGCATCGATTTACCTTCTGAATAGGAATCGGCTACTTATTGCCTCGCGTTTCGTTCCAGAAATCCGTGCTACCATTTATTTTCAATCGAACAATCCGAATCAACATGTTTGCACGGGAAAGTTTTTACAGGACGTCCCGAAACAAACTTTTGGTCAACGGTGCTTTCCAAGTCGTTGCACGCGTAGCAAAACGTACGGCGATGAAAACTTTTTCGTCGATGCGAAAAAGTGGAAGGAAATGTGACTTTTGAATTGGGAGAGAAAAAAAATATTTTAAGATAGGAAGATGGTGCCGCAATTAGTACAGCATTGGCACGTTCTCAACTTCTCCTGTCTATTCATCTGGTCGAGTGTTTTCGTGATCAAGGATCCGCAGCTTTATTAAAGCAAGCCGAGTATTTACTAGAAACTGCTCCCGTAAGCGGGACGATACTTGGTAAAAGCTGCTGTGCCACCCCCCAGCATTGACGGAGACTAACAACAATTTGCATTCGTCAAGTCGCTGCATTTCCACCGCGTTGATCACTTCCGAATTTCTAATTACACGATCTTCTTTAACGTTTCTACGCCTGGACACCGTTCACTTTCCTCCTGGGCGAAAACTTTTACAAAATGTCCTCACCTTTCACGATGTTTCACGGCTGTTTTATTCGACCGTTCAAATCCTGTCAAAGAATTGTTAATTAACGGTTATTACGAAGTTATAACAATTTTCTATCAGCCTCCCTGACGAAAATCACATTTCTATAAAAATGACCCCCGGATAATTGCTCGTTGCATGACGAGAAATTCTAATGTTAATTACCTGCTCTGATAATAAGGTGTTAATATTAATTCGTACCGTATAATGACCACGATGTAATATCAATTATAATGGGGTGGAAAATCATCACCTACCATGGATCAGTTTCAGATATCTAGTTTTAATTGAAAATCACCTCTAGTATATTGTTAATTAACGCGAAATCAAGTGGATGAATCTTCCCAATTTATATTTAGATCATAATTTCAAAGGTGGTAATTAAACGGCGAATTTTAACCAAAAACATTTACCAAATGTAATTAGCGTAATAATTGCTAACGAAGAAGCGAACTAGGAGAGGTGGCGTGATCGAACTTTTAACTTTAAAATCACTGTTGTATTTCAAATAGTTCGTAAAAGGGACCAGTGTCCTATGGCCATTAATATTAAAAATTCTCTAGCAACAATAACGTAATCCGAGCGAGAAGGGTTGAATGGAAGGCGTTGAAAGGAAACGTGGCGAAAGTTTTCTGTCACCTTCTCGTTAATTCCGCTCGAACGAGGGTAAAAAAGAATTAATGCGGCTATTCTTCGTCGGACATTAGCAAAGAACGAGTAATTCGTGTTCGATGAAACAGTGAATAAAATGAGGGGGTGCTTTTTTATTGTAACTTTAGAAATTTTTCAAACAACCCGTTAAATTACAGCCTTATCGAGCGATTCGCAATTATTTCAGAGTCAACGAGCGACGTCACGGAAGGTGTTTACGCGGGGGAGCGCGCCCGGTTGGTTTATGGGGTGTTTACGACCCCTGTGAATTCGATCGGAGGCTCGGCCGTTTGTGCTTTCTCCATGAAGAACGTCCTAGAAGTGTTCCAAGGTGCGTTCAAGGAACAGGAAACCATCAACAGTAATTGGCTCCGGGTGCTTTCGAAGAACGTACCAGAACCCAGGCCTGGTGCGTGCGTGAAGGACTCGAGGACACTTCCGGACGCGACGGTGAATTTTGTTAAAGCGCATCCCCTCATGGACGACGCTGTTCAGTCCTTTTTCGCTTTGCCCGTCGTGACTAAAGTCAGCTTCAAGTGAGTCCTGTTTTTTTAAACCGTGGTTAATTAACGTTCTGAAATGCTAATTATGAATTTTAATTTCAGTTACAGATTCACCAAAGTCGCGGTGGATCCTCAGGTAAAAGCTCTAGATGGAAAGGCGTATGACATTCTTTATGTAGGAACAGGTAGGTTCTTGGAATTGTAATTTGTTACACCTTCCGTGGATTTAATTATCATAATTTCATAATTATTCATAGACGACGGTCGAGTTCTGAAAGCGCTTAACACTCGCGCACCGGATTCCCTAAGCAACGTAGGCCAGGTCATCGTTAGCGACGTTCAAGTACTGAAATACGGTAAGTTTTACCTGGAAAAATATTTGCAATTTTCCATTTCTAAATAAACTCCCGGCATGCGATAATCCAGTTTCATAATTAATGTATTATAAACGATGATGGGAAATGACTTATGTTAACAGGAAAGTTCTGTTCCACTTTCATGACATAAAAGTGTCACTAAATAGCACTTATGCCACATCAATTTATAATTTAAAGTTTGATAAAAATCGCTGCATAAACGTTTCATCAATATTCTTAATAGAAAATGGATAGCTCTTTGTTGAAACAGACAATGGATCTGGAACAACACTATTTGCTTGCAACTGACAACCAGCCATTTGTATTAAAAACATTGATGGGGCGCTTATATGTTCATTTTCCATGAACTATGAGCTTCAAATTGACGTAGCGTAAGGCTATTTGATAATATTTTTCTGTCATGATATTTTGTCAGGCGTTTAATATTCATTGTTTGTTGCAATCCACCATCGGCCATTTTGTATTGAGAATATTTAAAGGACACTTATGTAATCTTTGTCTTTGAACTTTAAGCTTTAATTTGATATATCATACATATCATTTAATGATACATTTCTGTCACAACATTCCCCCTAAAAAAAGATTATAGTGTTTGGTTCTCAGCAACGGTACTCTGTAACCATTCATGGAATTTTAACAGTTAATTCCATTCACGTTCCAGGACAAGCGATTAAGGACCTGCTGGTAGTTCACCTGGCAGGGGAAGCGAGCAAATTGGTCGTCTTTGCTGACTCGGAAATCCGTGCTGTTCCTCTTCATCACTGCGACGCCCAAGCAGCGGCCACCTGTGCGTCTTGCGTGGCTCTTCAGGATCCACACTGTGCATGGGACGCCATTAAGAACCTATGTGTTGCCGTGTCCACGAAACTACACGACAGCGATGCCGACAAAACCCTGTTCCAGGACATTTTGACCGGGAAACACAAGGGTTGCGGTTACGAGCAAGGTAATTGTCGTTTGCCTAAACTACTCGAACAATGTCCAAAACATTTACTAGCCTGATATCCGGTTAATCGCGCAACTTTCGTGTACGACGATGACTTGTCGCTAGCTTGGATTTCTGTTCTGTTTCTGGGCTTTTCAAATAACGGTCAGGAAAATTTGAATAAGATTCATATAATTTATTTCCTCGCTGCGCCATTAACATATTAATTTTCTACCTGTAACACAAAAATCCCATATTTTCACGTGGTTCATACGATTACTAGTAGAATTCTGAATACAAGCTCGTTCATGCGAGTCATATTCCTTCGAAGAGGAACAAAATTTGTAATTAGGTGGCTAGTGGAAAAGCGTTGGCGTACTTGCGGTTGGTGGCTCGTGAAAATTAATTATGGAATCTGTTTGGCCACTCGGATTACATTGTGGCGAGGAATAACATGGAGCTTTAATATCTTCTTTTTCTTCCGCTCCTTTGTAACAATGGATAATCTCATTTAACGTTCTTGGTCAATAATTATTTTTAAAAATCCTCAAAGCTTCTTGAAAGTAAATTTTCACAGAATACTTATATAAGTAGCTTATCTTTTTGTGTCAACTTAACAGAAAGTTAATACTTTAAACATGGTATAGAATTTGAAGAGTAGGAATGGCACGATTCCTCAACTTTATCTTACCTACCGAAGAGTTCATGCACTGCTTCTCGGAGAGAAAAGAATCTGCTGAACTTCAGAATTCCATTCCGCCAGTAAAAGAAATTAGAAATTCCATCGCACCAGCAAGAATGAAAAGCGACTTGGTAAAAATTCAAAATCAAAAATCCAGCGAAAAAGTGGAGATTGAAATGCTTCAGTTCCATCAGATTTTTCCGGGGAGTTCACTCGTTAAATGGAGGAAATTCTTTCCGAACCCGCCTCAAATTTACCCGGACGATTTAAAAGTTCTCCGGTTCGAATTTACTTTCACCATTCTGTCGAGAGAGACATCGCATCGCGAAGAAGGAGGAGGAGGAGTAGGAGGAGAAACGTTTCTACCGAGTTTTCCATCACGAGGAGATAGCACGTTATTTCTTCGTGGACGATCTGCTTCAAACTTGCATTTACAGGGAAGTGTATACGAGCGAAGGGATCTTATAAACTTCAACATATCCATATTTCACGTGACTTATCGACCGCCATCAATTTTCCAACGCAATCAAATTCGCATTCAATACAACGACACGTTCGCCCATGTATACACGATTAAAATGAAATTGCACGATTGAACGACGTTGATAGATGTAACGAGGACGTTTCAAAGTTTTTATATTAAAAATATTTGGAAATGACGTATGACGGTTATATAAAAGAAATTATTAAAACTGCAATATTGATAAAGTGACAGTAGCGAATATGGTAAGGTAATTGACTTCAAATTCGAAAATCTTTTGGGTTCAAATCCAGGTCATATAACACTCCCATTTTTTCATGGGTTTCTCTAATTATTAAATTATAATTTTCCATAGAATAAAGAAACGTTAAAAGTTTCCTGTGTATTATTGGAATTTTTCAATGTAAACTATAAATATCTATGAACGTTGCTTTCATTTCTGTATGGAATCCAGAAACCCCTTGTAAAAATCCCCTACAATATCGCAAATTCGAATCTCTGATATTTCTATAAATTCCCCCTATAAAAATATTCTTCTGGTGAAAGTTTATACATATCTCGCCATATAGATAGATAGATATCTGTCACATTCCAGGTCAATGATTCAATTATTGAATTGAGTTATAATAGTATGTTATGGTCGGGTATTGATGATACGTTTCTTTCGATTAGACACCGTGAAAGGTATGTAGATACGAGATAGCTAGAGGAGGTATCGGTGTCCGATGCAAATGTATCCTGGAATCAATTTATGGCATTCGACACGGTGTACAACAACTGTAGTCAGAGGATAAATTGAAGTTTATGTGTATCGGTTTGCATCGTGTGATACGTTTCTAACGAGCAGCTGTACTTCTCCGTTGAGAAAATCAGAAATGAATGACAGTCAAAAGCAGTTGTTACGAGAAAATCAATTTCTATAGAATTCGCGGTTTTGCGGTCGCCTGACAAAAGTGGTTCTCCACTTTTAAATGAATGTTTTATAGATTTATCTTGGTGGATATAATTATAGACCGGTAACTGGAAATAATTACCTCGTTGGCGTGTTATTAAACAGTTATAATGAATCTTATTCAAATCGAAGAATTATTCATATAGTAGATGAATTGGGTATTTGTGTATATTTATCCCTAAATTAGATAAATTTGCAATTCGGTTAATAGAATTTCCATGTAATTTGACCTAGAATCCTCTTCGACATAAATGAAGTTAATATTGAGTTGTTTTTACCAATTTTCATTCATTATTAAATTACGAAGCCGGAGTGTGTGTGTGTGTGTGTGTGTGTGTGTATGTATATATAGAAGATAGAAAGCTAAGAACCCATCAAAATTTCAAAGAATAGAAATCGATTGATACTGAAGTTACGAAAATCTCTGTGCTAAACGAAAGGCGTCAATATCGAGTAATTAAAGGGTAGTAATACAGCCACTTGGATTTCACGAGACCGATCGCAAAAGTGTGCTTAACGTTCGAAAACGAGTTTGACCTACTACACTTTTATCGGGCTGACATGAATTATCCACGAGAGACGAAATTGCATGAAAAGAGGCTGGTTTCATGTGAGAGGCCTCCCACGCTTACGCAGCTCTCGTCGAAAGAAAGTTGCCCTCTTAAGGCTAAAGGTACTCACACGTAATCTGGCATAAGAGAAGCATCCTTTGCAATCTAGCGTCGCGTGCATCAAGCTGAAAGTCCAATTGGAAAATCTCAGATGAAACGAGTCATACTTGTTGCTATTAAAGAAATTCCTGCAGACGACTATTGAAATGAAAAAATAATACTTCCTATTGTCAAATATGTAAAAGGAATTTTAGTGAATCAACAAGGACGAAGAAGTTGATTACATGTTTAACTTCAAATGTAAAGATCGTGAGTTCAAATCCAGGCTTTGGTTTCTCTCATTTTTTTCAGGAAAATACGTTCTCATAACCATTGAATCATGAATAAAATTCATAATCTACCTGGAAAAGTGAGGATTTTTTTCGAATCCAGCTTTAGAATGAATAGTAAAGTCGTAAATCCTTTCCGAGCTCCCCATAGTCTTCGTATCGGTCAGCTAGATCAGTAAAAGCACATTCTGATGGCTCCCCTCTTGGTTCGTTGACCATGACGACTTGGTTGCAAACCGCTTTACCCTTTCACCATTCACCGATACTAACACATTAACGAGCTTGTGTACATAGAATGCTCGTTCAATGGCAAATACCAAAGGAATTACGAGATCCGTAGCGTGAAAAAGTTTATTGTGTCTCTGGGTATTATGTCTACTAACGCTTCCACTATCAATATTAATGAACGTGTCCATTGTCACGGCATTTGTGTCACGTGTCCCGTCATCAAATCAGTGAAATGTTGCTTCAGAGATGGCGAAGCCCGTGCAGCCAGCGGTTCTGCACGAAAACGGTCGGGAGCAGCCCGATGAACGGGACAATGAAATCGTCATCGAGCTGGATCGGGAAAATCAGTACGGTCGTACGCAGCCACGAGCTAACGAGCCTCAAGGTAATCATCTCATCGGTCCCCGTCTCGCTTCATTCTCTGTGTCCTAACACCTTGTTTGTAACTAGTTGCACCAAGACCTCCCCCGCTTCTGTCTCTCCCCACGGATCTCCCCTACGATCAAGAAGCAATGAGTCCGTCGTATACCGTTTAGGACCCAAGCTAACACAGATTTTGTTGCAGACGTGATCGCGACCCCGGTGGTGTACTCAGCCCAGACACTGACCGGTGCGCTGATAGGAACTTGCTTCTTCTCGCTGGTAGCCGGCTTCGCTTCCGGCTTCTGGTTCTCCCAGAGGCTCCGAGGCGCTCCCTATCCAGAACCGTCCGAGCAACGGCAACAGTTGAACAGATTGACGGAGAGCTCGGAATCACCTGGTTTTAATAATAAATCCATCAACTTGGTCCTGAACGTGCCTCCGAAGAATCCGAACGGCAAGAATGCCAACTCTTCCGCTGAGAACAAACCCGTACAGAAGGTGAAGAAGACGTACATATGATATAGACGACGACACAGGGCCGTCTGAGGCTTGCCGCAGGACCCGACGGGTTCCGGCTCTTCTTCTTCCTCTTCCTCCGACCTCGCGGAATCCGACGACCGTAACGACGACGAAGACGCTCATCAGCTCAGCCAGCTGACCAGGCACGAAGAAGATCCTTACGAGAGTGTGGCCAGCGAGAGGTCTCTCGAGTTCCTCGCTTCCAGGGAGACTCCTTGCGATTATAGGAGGAGGTACGACTACACCGAGACAGCCTTAACTGACCCGGCGGTCAGCCTCCAGGACTACAGCAGCAGCAGCGCCAATAGTCTGGACGATCTTTGCCGAGGGCAGCGGATGCTCGGTGACTTCAATCGAACAGATACTTCGAGGGATCACTACATGGTGCCCACACGTGACCCTCGGGAGTTCAACGAGAGGATCCTTTCACTGTTCAATCCTCAGTTTCTTCCTAATTTCAACGATATGATCATGTACGTAGCCAGTCAATACGATACCAGACGTACCCCTCCGCCCAGGTCCAGGTCGATGGCCGAGGGAGAGGATAGATTGTTCAGAAACTCGAGTTACTACCGGAAGAAACGCGTGGTCGGAGCTGGATCGATGTTCTTCCGGCGGGGATTGACGTACGAGGCGCGCAAGTGACAAAGGCTGTCTCTATTCGGATTTAAACGGAGGATTCAGTATTTGGTGGATCGTTTAAAGATCTATCGGACTTGAATAGACACACAAGCGCGCTTTCGAACACTATTTTTTTAAAGGTGTATATCCTTTCGAGACAGATCTTGTGCTAGATACGAAGTTTTCTAAACGGAATTCGAGCGTTCTTCCTTTCCGTTTCTCAGCAGTACGGCAATGGGAGATTATTAGGGGACATTGACAACGATGATGGGAGGTGTGTTATGTGATACGATCTGAGGAGACTGTGTTCGTAGTGGCCTGCTTAGGTGCTTAGGACTGCGGTGATTTAAACAAGACGAAGATTCATGGCTCGAGGCTACGTTTCTTGAATGGTAATTGATGAAGAGGATATAACTCATTTGACCCCAATCCTTTCCATTTTAACTTCTAAATTTTTATTATTTTTTATTATGCAACGGCGTTAGATAATTAGAAAGATCTATTTTATGATCTACTTAAATATCAAGGATCTTTCTCCATAGTCTGTGCTCTCTAAAATCAATCTAACGAGGATAAAAAGAATTTGTCTTGGCAGATTATTCTTAAAAGGACAGTACATCAATTTTATTTAAACTTTAAACTAAAAAAAATTCATGTGGCATAAGTATCATTTTGAAATACTTTTATGTCATCAAATCATTCAAGATTTTCAGACATCTAATAATTGCAATAATCTAATATATAAAAACATACTTCAGTAATCATCATTTAAAATCAACGATAGTATCGAAATGATAACGAGAAATAATTTTAAGATATTTTAAGAAACGTATAGCCTCGAGAAAAATTGAGGTTTGAAGCATTCGCGCGAGACGAGGCGTGCCTTCCGTATATTAATTGTTGGCAAATTTCAGATCTTGTAAAACAGGAAACGGTGCAGGAGATAATATGGCTGGTATAGATTCGGGCAAGTGCCTCATTTAATGCGTTTCGTTTAAGAATAGAGCGAGAGTGAGAGAGAATGAGTATGAGAGAAACTAAAAGACTAATGTGTAAGACTTATCCGAGTATTGTTGTGCACTTATTGCCGTGCTGTGAGTATATTGGTTATTAGCAAGAGAGAGAAAAACATTATTGAATAATTGAAGAAACTGTGCTGTCTTCGAGGAGCTGATGATGATTTTTCTCTCTTTTTTTTATAATGAAACCGTCTCTCCACAGTGGAGCCTTCTTTAATTGTTTAAAAATGTAGTACAAACATGTGGGAGACATTATTTTTATTTTGAAATAAGACTCCACTGTGTGATCTGAAGACAGTTTCTTTTCGCTTGGATATATTCCTTAGACACTTGAAAGAGTATTATCGGGAAAGTTCGGTACAGAACGGAGTGTTAAGCGTGTTTGGCAAAAAGATGCCTTTGACAATGGCGTAAATCGGTCTTACTAGCGTACAATAGCCGGGCGTGTACTTCCTTTACAGCTTAAACGCGGATTGAGTGCCTGCCAAGTAGCGGTTAACGTTTGTCCCAGATTTTTCAGAGAACAAAGAAGAGATGTAGATCGAGAGTACCTTAAGAAGGAATGAAATTTTGATTTTCTAAGTTTTTTTGTTCTCTTTCTTGATAGACAAACGTTGAACTGTTAATAAATCATCACTGCCGCCCCAGATTCTAATAAGAACATAGACATCATCGATTTTCACTGATTGTCATTGAGCGTTCAGATGGACAATACACGAGGATTAGACCGGTCATGAATCAAGAGAAAACGTAGTATTATTATTATATAGAAACGACCATTACGAGGCACGGTCTGAATGGAATGGAAAGAAAATCCGTGTAAATAAGTAGAAATTGTTTTTGTTTGATCATTGAAATCATTCGTTACACGCTACTCGTCACCGCGGACAGCAGTGGTATATTAATTAATATTTACACGTACACTTGGGTATTCATAATACTTTGAGTGACGTTTCTGTATAGGCATTTTTGTTGTATGTACTTTAAACTTTAATTTGGTGCAAAGCTGATCATAACTGTCATTTTGTGATAATTTTATGTCATGAAACTGTTCCAGAACTTTAGATCACGAAATTTGAAGAATTGTTCGTTGCAATCCGAAACCAGTTATCTTGTATTAAGAATATCAATGAGTCCTTTATACATCTATTTTCTTAAAGTATTAATCTTTATTTTAATGTATCATAAGTACCAATTCGCAATACTTTTAAGTTATGAATTCTTATTAGATTTTTACCTTTTACCATAATAATTTTCAGTGAATCTCAAGCTTTAATTTGATATGTTATAAACGTCATTTAATGATACCTTCCTCTCATGAATTTATATGTCACTCAAAGTGATCCACCTGTACGTGTAACCGCATTTTCATTGTAACACACACACACACACACATATATATATATATACACACCGTATATACAAAAAAAACTATACATATATTTTTTTTTTAAATATGTATTACGAGAATGAGAGGGAGAGAGTGAAAGATGATGTTTAACAAGAGAGGCAGCTAATTACACACTTTTCTCCGTTGGTCTTTATGAAAGACCCGGGATCTTTTTTTAATTAAAATTACGCCCAACACCTGTGTACATCTCGTGTATCCAAACGACGAGAAAAAAGAAAAAAAATTGTTTAAACAAACCGGGTGTTCGGGATAAATATTTTACAGATACGATGTTTATATTATACAAAAAAAAAAGAAAAGCATCCAACTTAGGTACCTTGTGAGAAATTCTATAAATATATATATATATATACATACATAAATATTATTGGCAGATTGTTATACGCTATAATATTTCTAAATTTAGATAATATGTTATATATATATATACATATTATGGATGTACATGTATACAAAGGCGTTTTAATTAGTATTTACGTGATTTAATTGTAAACGATAAGAATAATTGTACATAGTATTACAACGTTTCAAACTGACTTAGGAGGTGAGGAGAATTTTTCATTGAATTAGGTTTCTTTATTTTAATTTTCATTATACAGAAACGCTTGCACATGCTATAATGAAGGGTTAATGATTTTTATATACAGGTATGTGCAATTTAACACTAGAATAAATATCAAGAAAATTTCACGCATTCAAACATAGAATAAATTTAATAAAATATTCTTGTTATTTTGTCAATGTTGTGAAGTTCTAAAAATAAATTCGAGTGGAAAACATGGACTGGTTGAAAATAAAATTGGTCCCTGCTTATTTTTCACTGTGAATTCACTGAAAAGGAATTTCAAGAGATTCCACAATAACTCTCTTAAAATAAGTCTAATAAAATTAGTCTTGCACATACCTGCTTAGCAGTTAGATTATAAATTACGATCGCATTAATTAGGTGAAGTAAATGCAACATTCCACTTAAAACCTGGACTGCCAACCATTTTCAGTAAACATTGGTAATAATTAAACAGTTATTTTTACAAAATAAGTTATTTTGGGTGTTGCAACTTTAAGAGCGAAAGGAAATTTCAATATCCGAAAGTTGTAAAATCATACAAGTCCTATACAAGTAATTCTTTTAATGTAAGAGCGACAGAGAATACGTGATGAGATCTTTTTATTTTGTTGCTTGAGATTATTACAAGTAATATTGTATGTTTCTTAATGTTTTGTAATGATTTCAATAAAGGTATCCTTAAAATAGTCAACATTTATTCACTATTTTCATTTTTCAAAATTAACATTTTTAATTATTTTTCATGAAACGTGGACTTGTTAGATTTTACAGCAATAATAATCTAAGTTTAAGTATCAGTTACTGTATCTTTAAATATAATTATCACTCTGTAATTTATCTGAATTTTTTTTTTTTTTAATAGTATTATCAATGTTACAGTGCTATCGTTGATAAGAGTAACGCGTTGATAACTCTAATTTTCGTCTAATGTTATCTTGAAATAGTTTCCACCTACTAAATGAATCATGTTTTAGTCTGAAAAAAATTATTTCTCTTTCGCAGTTATTACAGGAATTAAATTAAGTTTTTAAAAAGAATACTTAAGATGGTATTAGTATTAAAATGATTAAAGTACTTACCTGCTTAATCCTGATGTGACATGTACATACATAATATCCCAGTGAATTTAGGCAATTCAAAGAAAAAAATAAAATCTGAATAGAAGAAAGCCGTGTTCTATTCAAATGAATAAAAAAGAAAGAGATTATGGAAGTACTTGCACTAATAGTGTGTTGAAACTTAACAAACATTGAAATGGATGGCAGTCCAGGCACACATGTTTGCTGTGCCAATGCAATGCGTTTTCTGTACATAATATCGTAGTCCTAATTAATATTAATTAAAGAGTAGCTGGAGTCCTGTTGACGTAAGCGAACGGCATACACGTAGAAGTAATCGATACAGCTACAGTCATACATTTTCTTTTATTCATGGTTCCTTTATCTTCTTCTGATACAGAATAAAAAGGAATGAAGGTTTAAGAAAACTGCCACATACGGGCAATAAGCTTCCAATATATGTCTCGTGAAGAAATCGTTCGCCCATTTGCTCGACGCGCAACGAAAGGACGAAGAACAGAAGATTTCATGACTATGCACCCATAGATGGGTCGTTGGTGGATCCCATGAATTCAGTCATTAGGTTGTTGCATAACAAGTAGGTGATAGAAAATTTGAGAATGAAATTATGAAATAAGGGTATTGCAAAATAGTGCTTGTGATACATCAATTTAAAGCATAAAGTTTAAGAAATATAACTACATAAACGCCCCATTATGATTCTCAATACAAATTAAATGATTCATCGTTCGAAGCAAACTTTGTATCTAATTTTTCAACAAAGAACTTGTCATTTTGCATTAAGAATATCAATGAAGCCTTTATGTACTAATATTCTTCAGACCTTAAGCTTTAATTTCATATATCATAAGTGCCGTTTTATAATACTTTTCAGTCATGATTTTTATGAAACAACCTATACACTTTAATAGTTATGCTAGCGTTCGGTCCACGGCGTTCACCGGAAACGGAAGAGCTGGAGAACCTAGAATCGTCAGAATACTTCGCACAAGACTGAGAGGAGCTTGTACATAGAAACTTCTACATTTAATGCATTACAATTTGATATGAACTGTTCAGTTTATTACCATGACATATAATATAAACTGGTAACAGCATTGTACATAGAGGAAAGAGGAGATCCTACTACCGTGCTATATACATATATGTTACTACCGTTGTCTCCATTTTCTACACGCAGAAAGCCGCCACACGACAGAAAGATTTCCTATTTTTCACAAACAAACACACACACATACACACATACAGTGGACCAAATGATTGTTAACACCTGGTTTCATCTGTTTTACACCTTTTCCCTTATAATAGAGATTCTGATAGGAAATCATGTGGCTATAATAATTCCGCTGAACATCATCAACGAATTCTAATCATTGCTGGGTGTCCTGACACACCACGAATAACGGTAGTAAACGCAAAAGATCCGCTTATGAGTTACAATTTACATTTACAATCCAGATTATCCATAACGTTTAAATAGAATTAAGATGAATGTCGCAACAAGTAATGTAAACTCTCTTCAGAGACGAAATAAACGAGACGATGATTCAAATACATGGCAGAGAATATATTTATCTTCGCTTGGCATGCTTTACATGAATATCTTGTACAGTTCTGGTTCTTCTCTTTTCTCCTGGAAGCACCTACTCCTTCTGCACGTGTTCATCAACGTTTGGCGGAGATATTAAGACGATCAACTTCTCAAGACTTGTATACACCTAAAAGGACCCCGCTGATCACGATATCTGGAAGACTGTTCGATGTACCATCTGGATAAGCGTATGGATCACATTGAAATGATAATACTGGATGGTGACCAAAGGCATTCGGATGGACGTGTTGAGTGTCCTCTGTGTCTTTGTATGTGCTAGAACAAAGGAATTTGTATTAGATATCAAAGTAATGGAAAGTCGTGAGAGAAAAGTATCGTGTAATTGCACTTGTAATATTATCAAATTGGAGCTTGAAATTTATGGAAAATTCTTATAAAAAGATTTCATTAATATTCCTAATATGACATAACTGATTCAGATGAATAAATGTACACCTTTTATATGATGCATCGGCAGTACGACTTTCTATACCCAGGAAATTGAGAACCTGTTGCTTGGTGGCTGAAAGCCTCAACATTTTCTGGATGTACAATTCCAGTGCAGCTCTCCTTTGCTCTAGTACCTTCGGCTGAGAATTTCTTACCCTCTTCGGCGGAAACGAAGCAATATCCGCATTTTCCTTTTTCAACTGCAATTATAAACAAATATCAAATCGTAAAAAATGAAACAGCACTTTGAAATTTTCTCTTAAATGTAAATGAATAACAAGGTATCTTACTGTGACTGCTCAGAAATTAATTTAAATAAAAACAGAGGTGATGGTTTGATAAATATTACTTACAATTTGAAACATTATTAATAATTGTAGAAAGTAAGAGTATTCTGTGTGCAACTTTGGAGCGATCCGACTGCGCTTTTATAGAATTTGAAAGTGCTAACTGAATGCATTAGTTTCACGAGTATGTTTTACAGTGAGTTAAGTGTTAAAGAACGCCAGCTACGTAAATCGTATATCATTACGCGATGATGAAACTCATACATATAGTGATATGAGTAATCAACCATTATCGAAAGAAATATCGCTCTAAACCAACAGCAACATATCTATTTTTAATTCTTTCAGTACAAAAAGAATATATATGCTAAAAAATATTCAATAGTATACAAAAAATGATAAGAGAAACTAATTGTAAGTGAAATGAAAAGTAGCTAAGCGCCAAATTTCAAATGGACCTGCTTTTCGCGCGCTAATTCACAACCCGCGAACTGTTGAATTTCATAATAATAAAAAATGAATATATCATCTCAAAACTTTAACATTACATTTTTTTAATATGAAAAAGATTCTTCATATTAAAATTTGAAGAGGGTACTTGAGAATTTCTTGTATGCGCAATTTGCAGTGTGAATACACCTTATTATATAACGCGCATTTCTGAACGGTTCGCGCATGTTTATTCATACATGAGAAACTGAATGGGAAGGAAAGTAGAATGAGAGCAGTGTTGAACAAGGACAGAGATACATTACTTTCTCTTCTTCAAAATACAGGAATGATCCGTTTTTTGAATTAGAAAAAAATTAGAAATTGAAATAAACATACCGTGCGATGTAATGCACTAAATTCGCTGTATCTTCTCTCGATATAATACCGAGTACCAGTTTCTGGCTCCAGTACTTCGATGCAATAAACATAATAGGGCTTGCCGTGTGACACCTCGGCCAAACGGTATCCACTGATGAAAACTTGATACATTGCATCGCTAGCAATTTTCTAAAGTCCTTAAAACTCGTACGATTAAGAAATATTATCAAAAAACAGGACGCTTCGATCACTGTACTTGAGGGCTGTCAATTCAGGCGATGATCAATGTATTTGTCATATGAAACATAGATGTATACCTCGATGCAGAAGAGATCATACTTTTCAGACGACGAATCTTCGTTGTGCAATGTGCAACAAGTGCTACCAACTGTTTAAATATTCCCTATACTAAATCCAAATTTTTAAGAAATTCTCAATAAAAGTCATGAATTAATGAATTATAAATAAAGAGAAAAGTATATCAATAATTGCTTTTCTCTTTAATTTGATTAGAAATGGTTTGTCCAATATTAAGCAAAATTGGTCGAACATAACCTTGAAGGTCAAAATTCTGACCTTTCTCTACTGCAATCAATGAAGGTAGAGATTTATTTGTAACATGTGGCCTGCGTTATCGTAGCATTGGGAAGATAAAAATCAGAAAAACGTCAAAAAATGGCATTTATTTGGAGGCACATGATAAAAAGATCATTAGTGCTACTCAATCAGTCAATAATGATACCAAATCTTGACATTCATACCTCAAAATGTAAATATTGCTTGGTGAAAATGTAAAGAGATATATAGTCTTCAATGATAAATGTTTTTTAGATAACTTTCATGGGGAGTACGAAATGCAGGATCCCAAGTCAGAGGCTGATATGTAGGTATTACATTAAAACTGTAAATTTTAATTAGTTTTCATCTGGTTTATTGTATTTTAGAGTAAATGTGACTTTTATTGACAAAACAGGGAAAAGAATTCCTGTGAAAGGAAAAGTGGGTGATAATGTTTTGTATCTAGCTCATAGATATGGAATTGAAATGGAAGGTGCTTGTGAAGCATCTCTAGCTTGCACTACCTGCCATTTATATGTGCACTTTGATTATATGGACAAACTTCCCTTAGCTGAAGAGAAAGAGGAAGATTTATTAGATTTAGCACCATTTTTGAAAGAGAATTCAAGATTAGGTACAAACACCAGCACCATACATTAATTTTATAAGTTATTAGAATATAATTTTCTATTTTTTAGGTTGTCAAATTATATTAACTAAAGAATTGGATGGTATAGAGTTAGAATTGCCACAAGCAACAAGGAATTTCTATGTAGATGGTCATGCACCAGCTGCACATTAACATTTTATAGAATCTACATCAAAAAATGATGTAGAGTGACGTTTATTCATAGAAGACTTCAGTTAGCAGTAAATCAACGTTGAAATTTGGTTATTTTTTTAAAAAAGCCGCCAGAAGTATGTGGCACCATCTAGCGTAAGGGACGAAAATGAGCTTTCTGTTTTTCCCTGCAAGGGGCACAAAAATTATATTTTTAATTCTTTTATTAGCACCAGAGGGCAATAATATATTTTAAAAAAGCGTGAAGTTTAAATAAATTTTCAACTCATTTCTTCATGTAGATTTATCCCAAATCCTTGTATAGTTAATAAAATTGTAAACTTATGTTTCATTAAATATAAAAACTAGATATGTATAATATGGATCAAATGTTACACCACATATGTAGTTATAGTCTTCAATTTAAAAAAACATTTTCAGAAAGTATTTTACTGTATTTCATAAACATTTGGAACAACAAACTTGATTTATATGATATTTTGTCATGGTACAATATATTTATTTCTTATACATTTAGATTATGATACATATCTTTTAATTACAATGATACAAGATTTAAACATTTATGATATAATGAATCTGTGAATTAAAATTGTATTTCTTAGCCTTTGCAGCATTTACATTATTAGTGAAAATATCCTATAAGTATTTTTCACGTGTGAGCGCTGCCATCAATGCGTTTTGCACGTTTCTCCACTTTCTGGCAGGCACCATTATACATCTTTTTTTCCCAGTTTGACAACATTCACAGTTACTTCTAAATGTACATACTTCCCCTCGTATACGCAAACTTGCACACTTTGTCTCTGTGTCGATAATTATTATCACCAACATTGTCATATAATTATCATACAAACTATATTTATTTATATTTTCTGTCCATTATTGATCACTATAATTATAGACACATTCTACATTCATGCTTCATAACTCAATGAATTTAAATAGTACACTCATACAGTCATACAATGTCATACAAAATTACATCTGTCAAGATGATTACATGTATAGTTTCTCATTTGGTATGAGGCATCACAACGGACTTATTGAAACATAATTCTTTTTGTACTTAGTCGCAATTATACAGAAATAAACTGTCTACCAGTTTCAGTGGAATACTTTGAATCGATAAAGATAAAATGTTTGTTGATCTCTATGGCAGTAAACAATTTAATATTTACACACTTGACCAATTTTTAAATAAAACTGTTTTACATTTTGCAAAAATAAGTTCTGACTGGCATTATATGGTGGAACATATAGTCGAAATTGAATTACATTTACATCTTCTGCATGGCTGTGGAAAACCTAATTCAAGCATAGAAAAATTTTGATATCAGAAATGAACTAAAAGTAGGTTGTTACTATCTTATTACAGGACTAGAAACATAAGGCATAGTTAAATAATGAACCTTATGTACATTTATAAAATATTCCATGCTCTTATTTTTTAATAAGCCATCCAACAATTAATTTATTTTGTTGTTCCAAAGCTAAGTCTATTTAAAAATAAGGTAAAAATTGTCTACAACATTTATAACACCATCCATTAGGTCTATCTTAAAAGCTTTGTTGCTTGTGAAAAGAACAATTAAAATTTCGATCTTTTGAGTGCGTAAAACTTGTGAAGATCAATAAGTAGAATTATTGCTAAAAACCAACTGCGTCCCTCTTGCAAAATTATCTTAATTTTCTAAGTATATCATTGAAATATCGTAAAATAAAAAGAACTATCTACTAATTACTAATACAATTAGAAAAATAATTAATCGTAAATTAGAATTTTCTTAATATATTACAAGACTATAATACAATAAAATCCATTGAAAAACAGAAAATCAAATTTTTAGAAAATTTAAATTTCAAACTGCAAAATACTAAACTTATCTTCACTGTGCATAATTGATACTAGTAAATACTGATATTATTTAGTATTTGTGCCAACATAGTAGCGTATGAAATTCCATTTAACAAATAACCAACTATATAAATACAAAGAGCACAGTACAAAAGGAGCTTAAAAACAAAGTGACTTGATAATAAGAAAATTATTCACTACAAACATTCATTCTTGAATTTTTGATGCAATATTTAACCAGTTTGTGCTAATTACGAATCATTCAGAAATATTAAGACAAATATTGTCAGCACTGGGTTTGAATGTATATATATTATACAACAAGGAAGTAAACATAATTTCATTGAAAGCACAAAATAGCACTAAAATAAATAATATTATATAATAAAATGAAAATTTAAAATTTTCTATGCTTCCCTTGTTTCACAATCGCAGCAAAAATTGAATCTTATCATTTTCACACGAGTCAAAAAGCTAGCTTTCAAACTGGGAATAACAAATTGTGTCCTCATATCTTGACTGAATTTCTCACGATGTGCACAATGTATCACAAATAGTTGGTCAGTCCAAATAACGTAAATGGACCAATCATTCAGACGTCCATTTTGAAATTGTTCAATGTACAGATGTGACTAAACAATGCATTTTGCTAATAAAATATACAAAATGTATGGAATATACATGGTATCAGGGCTAAATGCGATAATTTGTGCTCATATTCTTTTCTCAAAACAAATTATTTCAAAGATGACGCTGATGGATAAGTGCATGTACCGGAAGTTGTCTGCCCCTTTGATACCTCTGACAACGACCCATACTCAGATCATGACACTCATACACGTTGGCCACGGCGCTACGGGACGAAGCAAACTCGACCGAGTATGGAGCAGAGACATCAAAGGGTTCCTCCAGTTATTCCATCGGATGGTGACGTCCTCCACACATCCCGCAGGACGTGCCACACCAATGAACAGCTCTCAGTGGAGGATAAATCCACAAGCAAGGAACGATCAGTGATAACAACGCCAAACCAAACCACCTGCGTCCGCATCCTTCTTCTGTGCTACAACTGCACAATTTATAATGTATTCTTAGACAATAAAGAAAACAAAGAGAATACATTATAAATATTACTCACCTGCAAGGATTCTGGGCAAAATCACCCTCAGCATCGCTCATGCAGTGATACAACATGCCCTGAGCACAAGATAAACATGAAATCTTTGCGATTCCCCTTTTGATAGGATCAGGAGCATATTCACATGAACCTCTGGGATTGTGCTGTTCTGTGTACAGCTCTTGGCAATGTTTACACCGTAACCGAACATTACGTTTCATAGTATTCTTACTAGGCTGAGACACTATGATATCTGGTTTCTTTAATGAACTGCTAGTATTGTGTCTGTTCAACGGATCTCCTTTGTGATCGCCAATGATGGGATATAAATACTCGTGATTAAGCGTGGTGAGCTGCACGTAAGAATAGTTGTCTGATCCAACATCTTCAGAGGAGGCTAGAGGATGCTGAGACGGTGGTACTTTTATCGATGGTCCACCGATGTAGTGAATTGGTTTGTGTGAGTCAGGAAGTTCTGAACACTGGGAATGATACTTGGGTACTCTGACTATTCCGTGGGGGGTGTCTGACGATGGACGCGGCTCTGGTGGTTCCACAGGTAGATTCAAGGTCTGTGTAAAGTGAATTCAACTTTATACATATTATTATATTGTATTACATTTCTGATACATACCATAAAAACATCTTCATCACCAGCATCTAATGTATTACATAAGGTTGAATTGGTTAATCCTGTAATTAACGAATTTCCTTAAGCAATTTGATGCCTCAATGGACAGAGATTTGAAGTTCTTACCATTTACATATTCCACAAAAAGGTAGCAGTAAAATATAAGTAAGTTAATGAAATATAAAACGAATTATTAATAAAGTAATTTTACCTTCTAGCAATTCCTCCACGGCCGTGCGAACGCCCTTATCAAAAGCTCTGGCATCTGCAGCTGTGTGGAAGGTCAGTCCAAATCTTTTCTCCCCTGTTCTCCAGTGATGAAAAGTTGGCATTACCTTATTATATTCAAAATCCTTTTTAATTGTACAGCTAAGGACAACCTATGGAAACAATATCACATGAATACTTATGACAATCAGTGGATAAAGTACAATAATTAAGTATGTTTATTACTGATTGATCAGTGATGCGTTTCCCATAAATAAGATACTCATGCCTCTTCTTAGTGCCCCCAGGTGGGGAACTACTAGAAGATCCGTGACTTTGGGCATTAGGGACAGCTGTATTGGATACAGAGTGCGTAGAGTTGGTAGTAGGGGCAGTTGTAGTAGAAATATCAGCTCCATTTCCGCTTGAGGAAGTTGCTCTTCTTCTAACAGACACATTTGCCAAACCACCTCCGCTTAAAGGTACCCAACCACCTGAGCTATCATCTCTTGTCATTACTTGGGCACGCACCCTTACTAGATAGTTACCACTGAAAGTAAAACATCAAAAGATTTGTTAAATTTCAATGTTGCATTTTCTATCATTGAATTTTTTGAAAAAACAACGAGTACGCGTTGGAGCAGATGTTACGCGCTGACATCGATTTAATGAATGAACGGTCACCTCTACACAGATACAGGACAACACATACATTTGAAATTGGACGTGACACGTCTCGGAGAGGAGGAAGATTATTTATAAGAATTTGAAAAGAGCTGGGGAAAATGTTGACAGAACTGTCAGGTAAGATAAATATAAGAGTGCAAGAGCTATGCCATAGTCACGGACATTTCATGAAGAATTGTCAGTAAGTACCATAGGCGTTACTTACTCCTCTGACGCCTCTGTCATGGTTCGAGCTGTCGAAGCCTTTACTCAATGCCCACTTTTTCCCACACTTCACCATTTTCGTTGCATTGAAAAGACATTCGGCCGCGATTCTGTTTATGGAGCTTTTTTAGGCTAGTGCCAACCACAGGAAGCGCCCCAGTCCTCCTCCCTCTCGCCTTCCCCGTACAGTTCATCCCCACGCCCGAACCCACGGTCCACGCCTGCTCCCTTTAGCTTTTACCGACCGTCGCTTTCCTTTCGAAAACATATTTCTTTTGCATATTTTCCAATATATCTTCGTCGATTATCTGTAATCCAGAATAATTTCTTGGGTTGGAAGTTTCTAGCAAAAATTAGGGAAAAGGGAGCACGCTTTGGGGTGAACCCCCCTGGGATGACTATACAGTAGCTTTTACAATGAAAGCTACCGGTCTGCGCAACAGGATTCATTCATCGATGCTGCTCATACAGCCTTGTTAATTATTAAGCGCGCTATCTCATGGCGGACAATGCACGCTTTAGTTACCTAAAGGATAGAGACGTCGTGTGACTTTTATTTATGTGTTTGTTTAGTGATTATTAATGCTCTAATTGGTCTAGATAAAGTATCGACACGTATATGATTTATTTTCGTATGTCCGTGAACTTGAAATACTTATTTTCCGATATATGACGCAAATTTTCAGAAAAAATTATTCTTTAATTAGCCTGTGTGCAAGGACGGATTAGCGTTGAAATATAATTACAAATAATTTAATGGAGGCGATATATTAAACAATTTTTTAATATTTTTTATTCTAAAGATTATCCCCCTACCCATTAATGAAGAATTATTGGTTTTTCTTTTATTAATTCATACTATACAAAATTATTTATCATTAACATGTCTGTAATATTTTTCAAGTTTCTTGTTGTATTTGCATTTAGATATTAGTCAGAAAATTTGGAAAATGTGTTTGAATTTGTGCGCGTGTTCCTTTAATTAATGAGAAAACCGAAATTTTATCTATACTGTTCACCAGAGTCCATAACTGCGACGCGCAGGTTGGAAGATGGTGGGGGAACGCAGCGAGCTCTCTGCTAATCGCTTTCCACTTAGTTTGGGAATATCGCCAATCAGGGCGAAGATGCGCACTGGAGAGGCGCGAAGAACGAAAACTGGTCTTTTCGCACTTATGGACTCTGGTGAACTGCGGTATACATAAGCAATACAGTGGATCTCTCTTTTTTGTCACTAAGTAGATTTTCCCCCTTGCCGACGCTGACAATCAAGGGAAATTTAGGGAATTTCAAATATACCGATAAGGAAGAAATCCTTTTACACATAGTAAATAGTGCTTACTTTTCCCAATCTTTCAAGATTGGTAAATTTTTGAACACAAAACATTACAAACATAAATTTAAATACTACTGTAAGTAAATACGAAACATGACATTTGCAAGATTTGTATCGAATTCAATAAAAATGTAATAAGAACCAAAGGAACAAATGCAGAAGAGAATATTTGAGAAGCTGAAAATAATTGACAGGTGCCCAAAGTGGTGCGAATTTTCATCAGTAATTTGACAATAATATGGCTGGCAATTTTTGGCAGAGTTCACACCAGTAAGATATTCTTATTCAAACTTTCATTTGTCATTTTTCTATATAAAATAATTGACTATCATGTATTTTTAGTCAACAGTGGCTGTTAGATAAACAAGACCTAGTACGAGAACGACAACACGATCTTTCTATTTTAACCGAAGAAGAATATCAAAAATTATTTATATTTTTCTCTAATTGTAAGTTAAATATTAATCACTCAAAAATATTGTACATACTATTATTTATATAACAATTTCTACTTTTTTAGTAATACAAGTGTTAGGGGAACAATTGAAACTCAGGCAACAAGTAATAGCCACAGCAACAGTTTATTTTAAAAGATTCTATGCCCGCAATAGTCTAAAATGTATAGATCCTTTGTTGCTTGCACCTACATCAGTTTTCCTGGCTTCAAAAGTAGAAGAATTTGGAGTTATTTCTAGTCATAGATTAGTTACAACTTGTCAGACTGTAGGTATGTATTTATATTAATAAACTGAACCAAAGTTGTATATTAATCTGTTTAATATTCTTTCAGTGAAAACTAAATTCAATTATGCGTATTCACAAGAATTTCCCTATCGAACAAATCATATTTTGGAATGTGAATTTTATCTTCTGGAACATTTAGATTGTTGTTTAATTGTATATCAACCATATCGTCCTTTATTAATTCTTATTCAAGATGTGGGCCCTGATGAACAGTTATTAACACTTGCTTGGCGTATTATTAATGATAGTTTGCGTACTGATGTTTGTTTACTATATCCACCATATCAAATTGCTATTGGTAATAACTTTTTACAGGTTGTTAAAATTTTGTGTTATTGTTGTATACTAATTGAAAATATTTATAGGTTGTTTGCAAATTGCTTGTGTTATACTGCAAAAGGATCTTAAATCGTGGTTTGCTGAGTTAAATGCTGATATGGAAAAAATTCAGGAAATCGCGCGTTATATTATAAATTTATACGAATTATGGAAAACGTATGATGAAAAAAAAGAAATTCAAGGTTTGCTATCTAAAATGCCAAAACCAAAAGCAGCTCCACAGCGCTGACAACAAGCTCTTTTATCATCTAATATCTGGGACTGATGTTTATTTTTGTTGAATAAGTACAAGCTATAATTTGGTGTTCATTTTTATATTTTAAATAAATATGCTAATGCCTGTAATTATAGGAATTAAAAAATGATTTTCTTTTTAAAATACTATGTAAATAGTTTACTTTATTTCTTATACAAAATTATTCCATACTGAAATTAACTAAAATACTTAATAAGTTACATATCTTACAAATATGGAAATGAAATTCTAAATATTCTTGTACTAACTGGAACCCTTGGAATATCTTTTCCAAAATTTTTTCACATCATCGTGACCCGCCTTTGTGACTACCATAGTCCTTTTCCTAAATAATACAAATATCAATTACTGCAACATTCTAACTCAGTTTCTTCGAAATATTACCTTTCACTTTGCCAGATAAGTACTCCAGTAGAAAGAGCATGGTCCCTCAACACTTCAAAGTCTGTCTGGGACAAAAACTGACTATACAGAACTCCTTCACTGAATACAAATCTGTTCCTTTCATTTTCCCACAATTTAATTTGATCTACTACAGTGGGCGGCAAAACTGGAGGACCGGCTTCTATCATTTTACTATGAGCATGTTGCTGCAAATAACTGTTAGTATAACAAAATGCCAATTAACCATTTTAGTTCAAATTTTATTATATATTGGGAGTATAAATAAGTTTCCGTCGTTTTTTTTCTAAAGTTTGAGGCTTTTTTATAAAATAACGCTACCTACGACTTTTGCCCATCTTTCGGGCGCTTATTTGGCTCAAAAACTGACATTTTTACACAAACAAAAATAAACTATGCGAACACAAAATCACTAATATTTTGATGCGGTGTTTTTGACGGGTGCCTAAGCTTGCTGTATGACGTTTTTGATCTGACATTTACTCATACCATTAACTCTTGGAGCCATCTTTTGTAAAACGACGCAAATTTATTTGTAATATATATTGTATATTAATAATAATTGTAGTGTAAAACATACCCTACAATTTGTGTTGCAGTAATACCACTCTTTAACGCCTGACGCACCGAGTCTCTTGTTAATATTGACACAACTAAATTTGGAAATCTACAAATCGAAATTTCAATAAATAGTTTGTACAATTTGATATATTTTTGTTTTTAAATGTACCTGTATAGCATTTCACAGAAGAGACCAAGTAAGGCAACTTGTAAATTAGAGTTTGTATAGGCATACACTCTGTAATTTGTTTCAACAACAATATAGCCCTCTTTGTCCGGGTCTCTAGATAGCGGTTTGTTTTGTCCGGTTGCGATATTCAGTGCCAGTCTTGTAGGGTAAAATCTGAAAATATACTGTAAATATAATAATATTGTCTATATCAAATAATTTGATTAACATTTTACCTTCCAGCCTTTCGTTTTCGTTGATAAACAAGACCAAATTCCCTTAAATGTTGTAAAAATGTTAAAAGACCTTCGGACATTCCTTCTGTACTATAGTCTTTACCAAGGGTTGAAAAATTCAGTTGGAAGAGGAAAGTAAGGCACTCAACTAAATCAAGTCCTCTAGCTTCTATTGTATCCAAGTATTGTAAAATAAAATACCACACCTGCAATATATGTAATAAGATGAAACACATTATTCAAAATTGTTGATAACTATAATTTAGTACCTGTGATGCAGTTTCCAATAATAGAAATTGGAAACCTGCTTGTGTAATAACTGGACTTCCATCAGCTTCGTCTCTTTTCATCAATCCAGCATGTAAAAGAATTCTAACAGCATCAGCAGATATACCTATAATACAATGTAACATATAATATTCATTTTACAGAATACATCATAGAATAGTTACCTTCTTGCTGTTGTGACCCAACCATATAATGTAAAACACATTCCCACCTCTCTAAAGCATAAGAATCTAAAAAAGCAACATCTCTAGGTTTACTATCAGTTTCCAATTGATTAGACATTGTCCATGGCTTTCCACCTCCCAACAGAACAATCTTTAAATTCTTTTTAAACGTAGTATTTAAAATCCAACCAGGTAGTCCACCTGGTATGGATGCTTCTTTCCATACATTTAATTCATTCAAAATTGAAACTACCTTCAAATGTTCCTCAAAATGTAGCTTAGAACACCAAGAAGCAATAACTGCTTGAGGCACTGGTTGTTCAACAAATAATAATCGCATGACATAGTGTTTTGCTATTACAGGTAATTCACGGAACACTGCCAGGCAAATTGGAGGATTGTGATACAATTTATTTAGTATTTCTGGAGGACGTGATTTTAAATACTCCTGGAGATTTTTACATTGCAATCCGGTAGGTCTTAACAAGTTTTTTCCACTTATTGCATTTGACATTATTCTTTATGCATTCAAGTCTGTAATAATTTACAAAAGATCTTTTTTTTGCATTTAACCTTATAAGTAATATATTCTAATTGAACATCACATTGTGTATATAAATTATAAGTATATTGTAGATTCTTGTGCTCAAATACTCTCGCGGTACTTAAATTCTCAACAATATTACACCATAGGTTACAAATTATAAAGAAGATACACAATGGGTTCACCATGAGTTATGAATGAAACTCCATTCATTTTTCACCCATTTAATATTTAGTGTAATGAAAGATATATTTCAAGGAGAATTGAAATATAACTCTTACATTAAATTGCAACATATTTTATTGTCAATATTCTTTGAAAATTGGGAATAGAGCCATTTGGATTTCACATATTGGTACAGTACAAAGGTTTATAAACAACTTGTGTATATTAACCTTTACAGAATTCAAAATGTATTCAATTTGTAAAAGTACTCATCCGGCTACTGGAGTGGAACACGCTATAACTTGTTATTTCTTTAATCGTTCGGAAAAATGTCTGGTTGTAGCCGGTGGAAATATCATAAGGGTATTTCGTTTAATTCCAGATGTGGACATTACAAAAAGGGAAAAATATACAGGTATATATATTCATCAACTACTTAAAATATATAAACAAAATTGTAACGTTAATTTACTTTTTTCAGAATCTCGTCCACCAAAAATGAAACTAGAATGTTTGGCACAATACATTTTACATGGAAACATAATGTCAATGCAAGCTGTAACTCTGGTTGGATCTCAGAGAGATTCTCTTCTATTAAGCTTCCGTGATGCAAAATTGACTGTTGTGGAATATGATCAAGATATTCATGATCTCAGAACAGTGTCTCTGCATTATTTTGAAGAAGAAGAAATAAGGGTAATTACATTTAATTAATTTATGAAGAATAATGAATTAATTTTGTATATTCCTTTAGGATGGATGGACAAATCACCATCATATTCCAATAGTCAGGGTAGATCCTGAGGGAAGATGTGCTGTAATGTTAATATATGGTAGGAAATTAGTTGTGCTGCCTTTCAAAAAAGACCCAAGTCTTGATGATGGAGATTTATTAGATAATACAAAAGCATCTTCAAATAAAACTCCTATATTATCATCATATATGATAGTTCTAAAAAGTTTAGAAGAAAAGATGGACAATATAATAGATTTACAATTTTTACATGGTTATTATGAACCTACACTGTTAATATTGTATGAGCCAGTGAGGACATTCTCTGGGTAAGCTTCATATACTATTAATTCAGATTTTAATAAAATTCTTTATTAAATAATGTAACATAAATTTTAGACGCATTGCAGTCAGACAAGATACCTGTGCCATGGTAGCAATATCTTTAAATATTCAGCAGAGAGTGCACCCAATAATTTGGTCAGTATCCAATTTACCATTTGATTGTTATCAAGCAGTGCCAGTAAAGAAACCACTAGGAGGAACACTAATCATGGCAGTTAATTCTCTTATTTACCTGAATCAGAGTATACCACCTTATGGAGTTTCTTTGAACAGCTTAGCAGAGACCAGTACAAATTTTCCATTGAGTTAGTATCTCCAATATATTTTCTAATATACTTAGAATAAAATATTAATAATTTTTGTAATTACAGAACCACAAGAAGGAGTTAAAATCAGTCTGGAAGGTTCTCAGGTTGCATTCATATCTTCAGATCGTTTAGTAATTTCCTTAAAGAGTGGAGAATTGTATGTATTGTCCTTGTTTGCTGATAGCATGCGTTCAGTAAGAGGTTTTCATTTTGATAAAGCTGCAGCAAGTGTTTTAACTTCATGTGTGAGTATATCTTTAAATTAAAATATGATATCCATAATTTATATGTATATTATAATATACTAATTTACAGGTATGTATGTGTGATGACAATTATTTATTCTTGGGATCTCGTTTGGGTAACTCACTTTTATTAAGATTTATTGAAAAGGAGCCAGAAAATTCGCATACCATAAATGAGAATGAAATAACCATTGAAGAGAACGAAACTGAGGAAACTCCAGCAAAGAAAGTGAAACAAGATTTTATAGGAGATTGGATGGCTTCAGATGTGTTGGATATCAAAGATCCTGAAGAATTAGAAGTATACGGAAGTGAAACACATACTTCTATTCAAATTACGTCATATATATTTGAGGTATTTATACCTAACAAGGAAATTAATGTCGGTATTTATAGGACGATATTTATATAATTAAATTTTTGTAGGTATGTGATAGTTTATTAAACATTGGACCATGTGGTAATATATCTATGGGTGAACCAGCATTTTTATCAGAAGAATTTTCACATAGTCAAGATCCTGATGTTGAACTAGTCACAACTTCTGGATATGGAAAAAATGGTGCACTGTGTGTGCTTCAGTGTTCCATTCGTCCACAAGTAAAGAATGGTTCCATACTTTGATATTTTATAAATTTCTGGTATTTTAAAAGTTCCGTTTCTTTTTCAAATAGGTTGTTACTACCTTTGAATTACCAGGATGTGAAGACATGTGGACTGTTATTGGTACATTAAACAATGATGAACAAGTGAGACCAGAAGCTGAAGGATCTCACGCCTTTCTAATTCTAAGTCAAGAAGATTCAACAATGGTATGATTGATTATCCTTTTCTTTCTAATTACCGTATGTAATATTATAATATGTGTTTAGATATTGCAAACTGGTCAGGAAATTAATGAAGTAGATCAGAGTGGATTTAGCACACAGGGGAGTACGGTATTTGCTGGAAATCTTGGTGCAAATAGATACATAGTACAAGTTACTCAGATGGGAGTACGGCTTTTGCAAGGAATTGAACAGGTACACTTAGGAATAATGTAATAAATGATACAATGTACTTGTGTGAAATTAGATTTATATATCAAAATTATAGATCCAACACATGCCCATAGATCTTGGATGTCCCATTGTGCATGCAAGTTGCGCAGATCCTTATGTAACATTACTTTCCGAAGATGGGCAAGTTATGTTATTGACTCTGAGAGAAGGACGAGGAACTGCAAGGCTACACGCGCAGACCGCCAACCTATTATTTGTAAGTTAAATCTACTCAGTTACCATTTTGTGATGTTATTTGAAACTAATATTTTAGAGACCTCAAATAGAAGCGCTATGTGCCTATAGAGACGTAAGTGGAATATTTACAACACAGCTACCTGAAAATATAGAAGATGAAGTACCTGAAGAGGAACATAATATAGAAGAACCACCTATTGTTGGTAATATTGACAATGAAGACGATCTTCTTTATGGTGATGGTCCAGCTTTTCAAATGCCCGCACCATCACAGACTAAATCATCTGAAGGGACTTCTAAAAGAGCTCCTTGGTATTTTTATCTATTTATAATATATAGATAATTTATACACTAATACAATAATTTATAATAATGAAATGTAAATATTTTTTTTAACAGGTGGCAGAAACATTTGCAAGAAATAAAACCAACATATTGGTTGTTGGTATATAGAGATAGCGGAACGTTGGAAATATATTCTCTTCCTGACTTACGTTTATCTTATCTTATTCGTAATTTTGGATACGGACAGTATGTTTTACATGACAGTATGGAATCTACGACATTGCAAACTGCACCTGTTAATGAAATTCCTAATCCGGAGATGCAGGTATTACGTCTTTTAAATTTGAATTTCCCGTACTTTCGGTAAGAGTGATGGGAGAATATATATGTAATTACTACCCTTTTTTAGGTGCGTGAAATTTTAATGGTAGCCCTAGGCCACCATGGAAATAGACCAATGCTTCTAGTACGACTAGACAATGAACTTCAAATTTATCAAGCATACAGATATCCAAAGGGTCATTTAAAATTAAGATTTAAAAAATTGGATCATGGAATAATACCAGGAAATTTGAGGTACAAATATTTTTCTTGAATAATAATTTCAATTTGTATGACTTATTATTTTATTTTGCAGACCAAAACCAAGAGAAGAAGACATGTCTTCAATGAACGAAACTCGACATTGCATGATGCGCTATTTTAGCAATATTGCTGGATATAATGGTGTATTTATCTGCAGCGACTATCCTCATTGGATATTCCTCACAGGACGTGGCGAATTGCGTACCCATCCAATGGGTATTGATGGTCCTATCACTTCCTTTGCACCTTTTAATAATATTAATTGTCCACAAGGTTTTCTGTATTTTAATAGAAAGGTATCATCACATATTAGTACCTAACTTTTATTATTAATATTATTCAAACTACTATTATATTTTAATTTTAAGGAGGAATTGAGGATATGCGTTTTACCAACCCATTTATCCTACGATGCCCCATGGCCTGTTAGAAAAGTACCATTGCGATGTACACCGCATTTTGTAACATATCATCTTGAAAGTAAAACTTACTGTGTTATAACCAGCATAGCGGAACCACTTAAAAGTTATTACAGATTCAATGGCGAAGATAAGGCATGAATAAAAAAAAACCAACAACGATACAATTAACATTTTTCTTAATTTATTATCTTTTTATTTAGGAATTTACAGAAGAAGATAGACCAGAAAGATTTATCTATCCCTCGCAAGAACAGTTCTCCATAGTACTATTTTCTCCCGTTTCATGGGAAACTATTCCTAATACTAAAATTGAACTTGATCAATGGGAACACGTTACTTGTTTAAAAAATGTATCTTTAGCCTATGAAGGAACACGTTCTGGTTTGAAAGGTTATATAGTACTGGGGACAAATTATAATTATGGTGAAGATATTACAAGCAGAGGAAGGGTAAATTTTAAACTCCATAACGCGTGAAATCTAATCTTCAATTTACATTCATTGTTAAATTAATTTCTTAGATACTTATATTCGATATAATTGAAGTTGTACCTGAACCTGGTCAACCATTAACAAAAAATAGATTTAAACAAATTTATGCGAAGGAACAAAAGGGTCCAATAACTGCTATCACTCAAGTATCAGGCTTCCTAGTCTCAGCAGTTGGACAAAAAATTTATATCTGGCAACTGAAGGATAATGATCTCGTTGGAGTTGCTTTTATAGATACACAAATTTACATTCATCAAATGTTGAGCATCAAAAGTTTGATTTTAATAGCTGATGTATATAAATCAATTAGTTTATTAAGATTTCAAGAAGAATACAGGACACTGTCCCTCGTTAGCAGAGTAAGTAATTATTTTATATTTTTGCAGTAATGAAGAACAGTTTTTAAGGATATATTTCTTTAGGATTTCAGACCAGCTGAAGTCTACACCATTGAATACCTAATTGATAATAATAATTTAGGATTCCTTGTGGCCGATGGTGAAAGTAACATAGCTTTATTCATGTATCAACCAGAATCAAGAGAAAGCCTTGGAGGGCAAAAATTAATTAGAAAAGCTGATTTCCATTTAGGACAGAAAGTCAATACATTTTTTCGTATAAGATGCAGAGTTTCAGATCCTGCAAACGATAAGAAACATTTTTCTGGTGCTGATAAGAGGCATGTTACTATGTACGGTAAGTTGGATTTAAAAATTAAATGTGAATTAAATAATCAGTTTAATTTTATTAATTAGCATCTCTTGACGGGAGCCTGGGTTACATTTTACCCGTACCAGAAAAAACTTACAGAAGATTGTTGATGTTGCAAAACGTTTTGGTAACTCATATTTGTCATATCGCTGGATTAAACCCCAAAGCATATCGGTAAGTAATTATTTTCTATATTGTTATATTTCTTTTAATTGACAAGCTTTTTGTTTTAGTACCTATAAAAGTTACATTAGAACTCAGGGTAATCCTGCAAGGGGTATAATCGATGGCGACTTAGTCTGGCGTTATCTTTATTTACCTAATAATGAAAAAATAGATGTAGCGAAAAAAATTGGAACCCGTGTACAGGAAATCATCGAGGATCTTACGGAAATTGACCGGCAAACGGCTCATTTTTAAAATAGTGCCTTTTCAATGGAAATGTTTTTTGTATTTTAAATAAAAACAACCCTTCGTATTTGTACATTGATTAACAAATGAATATTGCATAAACAAGAAATATAAATAAATTTACAAGTGTATATATATAACATTAACTTAAGAAGTAAATTTGTATAAAGACTGAGAAATAAGTTTTTTCTGTATTTGTATATTAAAGTGTGTTTTAATTAAAATTTGCGATGTCTGAACTACCTGGTATCACAAATCGCGCATCTATTAGACAAAATATTGCTACGAGACGGTTAACTGCACGTGAAACTCTAAGATGTATGTATTAATTACTTTTATGCAAAATTACGATTTATTGATCAAACAATTATTCACATCTATTGAATACCAGGCTTGACACACACAATTTATATAAAATAAAAGTAAATTAGTGCATAATATGATGTAGCCCCATTGTACTTCGATTTATATAAATATTCTTGTATTTAGTGTCTAATCAAGAACCATCGTTATTGGAGAAAAGACTTTGCGAAGCATTTGATATATTCGATACTGCAAAAACAGGTGAAATAGATGTTAGAGATTTGGGAACCATTATCAGAGCCTTAGGATGTGTCGTTACTGAAGCAGAATTGCAAGAAATACAGGTTGAAGTGGAAAATGTAGGAAACAACTGTGTACCACTAAATAGATTTTTGGAATACATGTGCAAGGCTATTAATGAACGCAAGTCAGTTAATTTACAACTTTGCCAACAAATATGTTTCTAATCTTTTATTTATTTTTAGATATAAACCAGCTGAACCAGAGGATTTATTAAAAGCATTCCAATTATTAGACCCTGAAAACAGAGGATACATTGTGAGAGATGATTTAGAAAAAGCAATGATGGAAATTGGAGAACCATTTTCAAAGGAAGAAATAAATAATATGATGTCTATTGCTTGTGATCCAGATACCAACAAAATTAATTATGAACACTATATTAATTTATTGCTTGTATGTATTTATAACTTGGTACAAAATTATTTGAAATCATAGATAACGTTTTTATAGGTAAAAATTCCTCCTGAAAGTAATGTGTATTCTATTGCTGATAAGTTAGATGCTATGAGATTAGAAGCTATGCCTAAAAAACGTAGATTGGAGAGTCTTCTTATGACCTTTTCTGAAGTTACTTGAAATCTATAATTTTTTGATCAATTATAATAACACTATTTCTTAAAAAACAACATACAATCAAGGAAGAAAATTTGTTAGTATTAAAAACACCGTTTTAGAAACATTTAAAATATATCTTTATTATGATTTCAAATTATAAAACATATAAATTCATCTTCCATATATAAATATCATCAAAATATATATTTATTCACAATTTTGAAAAAATTGGTGGATTCCCTTTAGAAATCTGAGCCATAGTAGCATTTACAAGATCTTCACTTTGAAGCATAGCTTGATTATGCACAACCTATAAAAACGAATCAATTAATAAACATGTATTAATAATTATTATAGGTCGAATAGTATAGAAGCCTACCATATAATCCAAGCTCTCTTGGACGGAATGATCTCTTGAATAAATCAAATTTATCTTTGATCCCTGCACTGCAACTGGGCTTTTACTTGCTATTACTTCTGCAAGCTTCATTGAATTATCCATTAAACTGAAAGGAGCAGAGAGTATTTTCAATTGTCTTATTATAATATGTTATTAATAGGAAAATTGTTTACCTTTCTTGACTATCAAATACACGACTAACAAAGCCACATTGTAGTGCCTCAGAGGGCGTAAATTTCCTTGCAGTGTATACTAATTCTCTGGCTAAACTATCAGAACCTACAATTTTTGGAAGCCTTTGCAATGTACCCACATCAGCAGCCATACCAATATCTACCTCTTTTATTTGAAACCATGCATCGGAAGTAGAATAACGAATGTCAACTGCAGATATCATGTCTATACCTGCTCCAATACATGCACCATGCACAGCTGCTATTACAGGCTTTGGACACTATAAGAAAATTTTATCAAAAAAGGAATGGACACATTAAGTGAGTTATATACTAAACCTTTTCTATTGCAGTGAAACTATCTTGGTAGTCTCTTATTTTATGCTGCAAAATTTTACATTTCCTTGCAACATCTTCGTGTTCTGCTAATTGTTGACCCAATTTTACCATATCATGGATATCAATACCTATAAGAAAAATTCTGTAATGAATAATAGTTTGTGAAATGAAATAAATAATTCTTTACCTGCACAAAATGCTTTGCCAACAGCAGAGAGAATTATCACCCTGCACTCTGGGTCTACTGCCAAGTCATCAAAGCACGTTGTAAATTCTCTACAAATTGTAAGATAATTAATATTTGAGTATAATACTGATTATAAGTTTTGAGTATAATATTGATTAAAGTATAATATAAATACATACTTCCACATATCATTGTTTAAAGCATTGAGCTTCTCAGGTCTGTTTAACTGTACTAAATAGACAAACTGTTTTGGTACTGACACTGATAACATTTTGTATTTGTTAGAAACATTTTCAGTAGAGTATTTCATTTTAAAATTGTATTGAATTCCTAGAAAATATTAGTGGTATGTTTATTACAGACAGTACTTGTAAACATATACAAACAATTTAAAATAAAATAGCACATAATTTCTTACGCGATTTTATAATACTTTTTAGTGACTGACGCACAGTGTTTAGATTCATATTGATGAAAAGATAGCTAAGACGACTAATAAATATTTTTATCTATCTAATTTCAAGGGTATGGCATTATTTAACTGACCGTTCAAAGTATCATTCATTATCTTTATTTATAAAATACAGTGACTACAGATTGTAGTATATATACCGCAATTCACCAGAGTCCATAACTGCGAAAAGACCAGTTTTCGTTCTTCGCGCTTCTCCAGTGCGCATCTTCGCCCTGATTGGCGATACTCCCAAACGAAGTGGAAAGCGATTAGCAGAGAGCTCGCTGCGTTCCCTCACCATCTTCCAACCTGCGCGTCGCAGTTATGGACTCTGGTGAACTGCGGTATAGATGTCTGGACACGCCTTTGTTCTCAAAGGGTCATGGAATTTGTGCCTTGAGTACGAACGCCATCTGCTTTATCCTAGTATAAAAATCAGAAATACTTTGTACTGCAACAGTCTAGTATCTCGTCGGTGTGGAGGGGAATAGTAGTGTCATCACCGACGAGAGATGTGACAGTAGCCAAGTGAAAAGACAATTTTGACTGCCTTTTATTCTATTTTTTATTAGAAATCAGTTAAAATCTGCACAAGACTGACAAATTATAAGAATAATTGTGTAACCAACTTATATTCATGAACTTGGACAGGAAATGGAAAACCATGAAAATCATTTGGTAAAAAGTTTCCACTGCTTTCTGATAGATGATGCCACCGTCCAGAGACTACTAGTTATCCTCGTCAGCGGTAGTGTGCGTTTAAATTGAAGAGCGTTGGAAGGTAAGATTTCCACCATATTTTCAATTAATAAAGTTAATTCCGTCGCAATAACATAATATTCTGGTACTGTGCAGGTGTAAGCATTTGCAGCATTTTAACTAACTGTGTAAAACTTTCGTTAACATCGTGTATTGAGAAGAGCAGTTTCATCGGTAGAAAAATGGAGGGAAGCTAAGATGCTTCAGCCATGTGACATCGTCATCATGCTTGAATAAGGTAATTACAAAGCATTTATGAACAATTATATTTAATCTAATTTCGATTCCCAAGTTATAACATAATCGGGCTATATCGATAGCTCTGCAAGAGTAATCGTATCCTTCTGTATTACTTGGCTCTATAATAACCTGTTCGATGGTAGCGAAAGTTCGCTTTAACTTGAGTTCACTGTGAAACTAAATCCTTTGAATTGATTCAAAAGCTTGATTAGCATGTTGATTGCTGCTGGTAGGCGTACATACATATGTACGCGTGTGTTTCGTAGCAGAGGTGCATGTATCTTTCACTATTCAAGATGTACGTGTCCATAACTGTTCGACAAATTGCTCTCCTTGTGAATCGATAGTATCGACCTATCGAATTGGTTCGAATCTGAAATGATCTGAAACATTGGCTCAATTATAAATATTCATAGAGAACGTTTATATAGTAACAAGACAGAGACATAATTATTGAGTCAATAAACTGAGTCAATATAATAACATAATTATATTTAAATGAAAAATATTAACGTTGCGTTAGAGTAGTAATTCCATATATGAAACACAGCGGGAGTCAAAGTCTAACCTTTTCTCGTGAAAGCTCTGCATTAAAGTAGTAATATTTTTCGTTGCAGCATTAAATTTTATTAACCATGCTACCGGCTGAATTTACGATTGCCTCCTTATTTCACTCTCTTAATACGTATTTTGCTTTTATCATTTGAATTACGCGATCCGCGATGAGAAATTATTTGCGCCAAGTATTTTCGCAAAACGCGTCGTAAGAAGTTTCGCCGTGACGACATTAAAATCTTTGCTCGGAATTTCTTTGAAGTACACTTGGGCAAAGAAAAAGAGTAACGAAGGAACTTTGGATTTTTATTTTTAATTAAAAGAAACAGAAAATAAGGTGCTTGGATCTCGTTCGCTTACGAAGTTTCCGTCTATCGAAGGAGTTGAGATTATTATTTATAATTAACGAAAGGCGAGAAGAAAGTAGTCTTCAGTAACGTTAATTGAGGCATGAAATGAACGGACATGAACAGATGTCGTTGAAATGAAAGATACGTGAATATTCAAGGTATCTGAAAAGTTATCTTAGAGAATTTTAGATGTTCCGTTCATAGAAACACAACGGTCCATCATTTCTCCACTTTTCGTTTGAATTCGGAGTAAGGTAAATGTCTACAATTAGGGCCCCAACGAGAAATCAATTGGAAAGAGGTAAATTCTATGTATTTTTGCCTCTCGAATCCAAAACTGTTGATAAAATTTGGGGGTCGCTTGTATTTTTTAAGACCGGTCAAGTTTTTGCCGTGAGGTAAGTTATATATTTTCTGATAACCTAACTTAACCTATGTAAGTTAGTGACGCGTTTTAAAAGTATTGTCTACCCCACAAAGTCATTAACTTTTGAAAATAATGATTTTATGTCAATACTTACCACAATATCTTAGTAAATACAAGCGACCCCGAAATTTTATCAACAGTTTCTGATTCGGGGGGCAAAAGTACGTAGAATTTACCTCTTTTCAATTGATTTCTCGTTGGTGCCCTAATTGTAGACATTTACCCGGAGTAATCGCGAGTAAACCAGATGCGATGGATCACAAAATGGATCTATTAATCACCAGTGCCTCTCGACATTAATTTACCACAAAACATTGGCTGAGGATCCCGTGTCCGAAGACGTCAACAGTTACGTGTGATCCTTGGGATCGCTCGCAACAAATAATAGCGTTGGGGAACGAGGCGATGGGTATCAGGGTAGCCGCAAATGATCCTCGGATACGTGTGTTCTTGCTGCGCGTACAGTTCCAAACAATTTGCATGGCTGGCCGCACCTCAAGCCGCGCCAATGGATTTTGTTCGGCAAAAAGCCGTATCAGTTTCCAATTAAACCACTCCCCCAATCTATTCGTATAATAGCCAAAGCTGGCGTTGTTTTGCGACACAAACGATCGTTGGTAAAAGTCTTCTCGAGATGTTTGCAGCTTCGCGGAGGTGGTGTTCTGAAAACCGACGAGAGGATGCATCCGGACGAAAGTAGTTTAGCCATTGTTTCGACGTCGTGGATAAGCTGAAGCTCGACGAAACAACTCTATTAAAAGTTGTTGCAGTATGTTCAGAGACTGCTTGTCCATGGATTTGTGTTTATTATTTTTTCTTGGATGGATAATGATACTTTTCGATTTTTCGCTCGACTAACCGCGACGGTTTCACTGTTGCAGAGTTTCCGAGGCGACGGGAAAAGTTAAGTGTACGCTAGTTAATCAACGGAACTAGGAAACCGCAAACGTCAAAGAATTTACGGAAGCGGAAGTTCGGAGAGAGGAGTTAATCTATCGCGTATGCTACGGCTACTTAATCGTAACACTGTGTCAAACCGTGTCATTCATCGCGAACCGATTCGATCGACTTACTTTCTGAAGATTTCCAGAACTTTGAGAAGACACAGCTATTTCGAAGCAATCCTGAGATCGCCAATAACATTTATGACAGGTACGTGACTTGTTTTTTTATTCATACAATTTAATTTCCATTGCTTTTATTTATTGCGCTTTCATTTCGCTAATCTTTATCGATTTCCGGCACTCGTCAATAAAACGAGAAAAATAACCGAACCACAAAACGCTGCTGGTGACCGTGCCATGAGAGCAATCATTTCTGAATTAGTTTGGATAGATTGTGTGGCTGGTTTTATCACTGTTTGTCTCGGTTGTTATCAGGTATGAACGTTGCGCGTACACGCAGCTTATAATTCCAACACAACGCGCGTTCTGTTTTCCAACGGCAGTTTTATTGATGAACGAAAAGCATTATGATATTTGAAATACTCGTTATATTCGGGAAAATTGAGAGAGGAAAGGGATCAAATGTCGCTTGCGCATGGTTAAACCTATTCTATTGTGTAGCAGAATTGATGAAAAATGTTTGGTGAATGAAATATGAATAATTTCAACGAAATTATTATTATTATTATTAGCGTCGATCGTTATAAATGTTCATCCTCATCACCAGATTTTACCTACCACGAAAACTCCCGATAAACGGGAATAATTTCACTCATGATATCGCGGAACGACGGTGTCTTCCAATTTCGTCTGGTTCCATTAAACCGACGCACGATCCCAACGCGGATACTCGAAACTCTCGTTTTAATCTCCCTCGGCGATGTTATCGTTCGCTCGATTTGCTTTACACGCGGAAGCGTGCAATCACCGGCCAAAAAGCGCAACATCAAACACGCCGGACCTCGATGGGACGGCGTGCAAACGCGTGGCCCGCTTTGCGAATGCGAACCAACGGCTACGACAGGCTATCCGACTAGCCAGCTCGTCTCTAACAAGCCCTACAGCCTTTTTGCAGCGAGTAATTGGTAAAAAGGTATAATAATTTCAGGACGAGCGTGCACGCTGTTAGAGGAACGGACGAGTCGTCGAAAGGGTGGCTAATCGGCGGCATAAGCCGCGCTCTATTTAATTTGCGTTCACGGCGACGCGACGGCATAAGGTTACACACCGGCATCCCCCTCGCTCTTTGAGGTCAACGTTGGATGCTGCTGGTTAGCGCCGGTGGTCGTGACCATACGTGGTGTACAACGATGCGTGTATGCAGTGGAAACTGCTACGGAACATGGAGCCGCTGTTTCAGCCTGAGGGTGTGTATGCTGGACAAGGAGGGAGTAGTTGTACCCTGGATCACGGTGGAACGGACCAGGAGAGCCGGTCAGAGCTGGTGGATTCCCTGGTGCGCGGCTTGAGCTGCGGTCGGAGCTTCTCGTAACCCCACGTATACCACGTCCTTAGGCGCGTCGATTATTGTATAGGTACACACGGATACAAGTCGGTGTACCTTGGCGGACTGAGGAAAGCACGAGAATTCACGATGTCTGAGTGAACCGAGGCGAGGGTCGAGAAGAGCCGAGGGTGGTCGAGGACAACCGGCTGCGCACGAACCACGAATCGCCGCGGGAACCTGTCGCACGGCACGAAAGTCGAACAGTCTCTCACTGGCGCTCGGCGCGGTAAGTGTCCGAGAGACTAGATTAGTTTACGTGTTCGTACTTGAACCTCTCGGTAAAGGTTAAATAGCTAAGATACATAGAGAAACATTACGTTAGATAGCCTCCCTTACGAGGGGGCTCGAGTGGCCGCTGGTGGACGTTCCATCCAACCAGTTTCTACCGCTTCTTCGAAGCCCGATGGAACGCGAGGAGGTGGACAGTTGGCGTCGCGTCAGGATGGGACGCTATCTCCTCGTCGATTCAGCACGCCACGTGACTTGGAGTACCTTGACTTTTTGGATCCTCGTCGTCCTGTCGTCCATGCACGGTGAGTGAAAAGTTGACGAACGTTCTAAGCATGCATCCACCGGCTGGTTTGTGGAAAAAGGAATTCGCTGGAGGGTTCGAAATAGAACAAAGTCGTAAATAAGAAGGTACGCGGAATAGGATTCACCGAGTACTTACGTGACCGGTTTCAACTATTTGCCGAAGCGCAACGCGTTCCAAGTCGAGGGTGGTACAGGGAGGAAAAGATCTTGCTGCGAAGGCAGAAGCGTGACGAGCAAGAACGATCGGCTAAAGGGACTTGGAAGACACCTTCGTTTCGATTCGCTGACTCCGTCGAGTCTCGGTATCCATTCTGAATTAGCACAATTGCGACGAAGGTTCTTTAGAGACGGTCCAATTGTTGGATTCTTTAGATACGGAAATTTCATCGGTTTCAATCGGTGGGTGAGGCTGCTGAAACGCCACAGAAAAAGATCTTAATATCGGTCTCGATCGTTAGCCGGCGTTTTTCTCTTTCCACCAACGCCAGCGCAATCTGCACTTTTTCACAGACGGATTCCGTTTTGCTTGAAAGCAATCGCGAACCGAGCTTCATTCTTTCGTTCGTATCACGAATCACGCTGTTAAATACGAGTTAGATGAAAGGGTAGTTTTTACAAGACTTCGTAGCAGCCAAACGAATCAGGCTTCGCTTTCCAAAGAGGGAAGTGGAAGCCGGCAAAAAGTTAACGAACTCGCGTAGCAAGTTCGTGACTTGAGTTCGAACAGATTTTAGTAACTTTTATAAGAATGACAAAAGGGTGGATCGTCAATAGCTTTGCTAGTTTTACCATTGCTTGAAAGAGTTTCATTCAAACAACAGGGATCACAGTTTACAAGTGATCGCGTAACGCAATACATAATTTAAACAGTGTCCCTGGAAAAACGCAATTTTCAGTATTCTCATAATACCAGTTCGTTGAAATATTTAATTGGCTTACTGATACAACAGTACAACCTATACATATATGCATTGTTTTATTCGAACGTTGCCGCTCGAGTGGTACATGTACAGATAACCATACAGTTTATTGAAAAAATAATTATTGAAGCCATAGTTAACAGTGGCAGATTCGAAAAGAACTGGTGAAAAATATTTTCACTTTTATTATCATTTATTTTATGCGTTCAGGGGGTTTATTTTCAAAATTTCACTCACCGAATCGTTACTGGATTTCAAGAAAATTTATAATTTAAAAGAAAATTGATTGCAGATCCTGAAAACTTGTCAGTCCATTCGGACACTTTAGTTTTCGTCAATAGCTTCTATTCCTTTTGTTTTTCACTCTTCGAAAAACGTACCCTTGAGATGTATATTTAAGTCGGCCTGTTCCTTTTCGAGAGGACCGCGAATAACTCACAGGAATTTTCGTAACGTAGCGAATTGAGCCACCTTTGGAAAGCAGGCCACCGGGATAAATATTGGATCGGTCAGAAGGTTTTTCGATTCCCATCGACCTACGTTCCGTGTTTATTTCAGACTTGCCCGCCGTTGTTTGATCATCGTATATTTTGTAAACATTAAGCGGTACAGCTGGAATGTTATTACCTTTGCAGGGGAGTACGCAAACAGAACATGATCGTTGTGTAAGCTACTGGAATAGATCGAACAAATTTTTTCAGTTAATTATCCTTTACGCGCGTTCGAAAATATCGCTGCAAATAAAGTGAAGAAATATTTGCACGTTATTTATTAAATACAGGTGAATGAGAGATACCTACGTTACTTTCAATTCATATTTCATGCATCGGAATTTCATTTCAATTTAATAATCATAAATAAAATCCATAGTAGATAATGAAAATTATTAATGTCCCTTATGTTTTCAATATTAAATGAAGAACACCTCTTCGTTTCACGAACCATTTTTTTTTTCCGTTTATTTCAAGAATGTTTATAAACTTCCGTCCATTGGTGTTATATAAAACAGGAAATTAATTATCGTAATACCGGCTGGTAGATAGAGCGGCATACATTTTGAATAGAGAGAGAAACGTCGTCGATCTCCTCCCCAATGAAATCCATTTCCTTTCTGCCAGAGCGATAGGATCGCGAGAGGACGTTTGATCGATAACTCCGCGCGTAACGTCTATTCGATCAGCGTCGAATCGAAACGGTAATATACGTAGATTTTCGTAAAATCGTACAACGCCAGTTTCGTTGGTACCGAACGATAACATTTCGCCGGTCGTATAGTCGTGCGATAAAATGTAGGAGGCATCGGGATAAGGAACTCATGGATCGTCAAGTTTGGTGGAACAAATTCCGCTCGGTTCCGCGACGCTGCCTGGAGCGTCCTAAACTTTACTGAACGCGAATCGCGAGACGTATACGCGTATTATTACGCGACTTCACCGTTGGAAATTAGTCCGACAGCAGCCGTGAGAGCCCCGAGTGTAAAGTTAACTTCCGGATTTAACTTCTGGATAGCGAGTAACCGAGTCACGAGACTGTTTCCGGTGACAAGTAGGGAAGATCAGGCGCGAGAATGTCAGGGTGAGAAAGTTCGAAGTAGAAGAAATTGAAAAGATCGAAAGGTTAATGCGTTTGCCCGCCTTTTTCGTGTCTCACAGTTCAGTGGGTCATATGTATCCATTTCGTCTAGGATAAAATCTTGTAATGACTAAAAGTTTGCAAAGGATATTACCGTTGAGTTGGCAATCAATTTTGCGTAATTGTATTATTAATTTGTTTGAAGAACGTTTTCTTCTTTCGGTCAATCGTCCCTAGAATCGATTCCTGTTTTACGTTTTAACGCGGAAAACGAGCCACGAGGGTAACCTGCAATTTATCTTGTTATTTGCATTAGCGAATCGGGGTCAGCGAAACATTTGCGGATACGAAAACCCGTACCGCATGCCATCAGATTTTTTCCCCTCCGAGGGCGTTAAACAAACGATTCGTTTGCATGCTCTTTCAAATAATTAAGCGATCGGTTAATGGAAACCTCTAGTTTTCCTTTATATCCCTAGAAGGTTAGATGATTTTCAGAAATCAACTTCTACCAGGAAATTCGAGATAAATTAAATTCATAACGTATTCGTTTCAATTTCCATGATCGAAGGCAATGCTTTGTGAGCGCTGAAATTTCATCTGCGATTGTTGAAATATTTGTAGAATTCGGGGGAAAAAAATGAAACAGAGGTACCGGAAATAAAAAATCTGAATTTTTGTTACACTTTCATCTCCAATTTCATTTCTTTTCTTTCAATACCTGTAGGTTACGATGATCTTAATTCTCAATAGAAACATTATTGTCTCGTGATCGATTAACCTTTTCAAATTAATATAACGAAAATCGCTTGTTCGGTTGTTCCTTTAAACTGTAACGCCGTGAAATCGGGTGAAAGGGTCGCGTTAACCGCGTTACCTCATAACTTGTCCCTCCATTGTGAGAAGTTGGCGAAAGTAGCTATGAAATTTCCATTTGTTAACCATGATAGAACGGTAATTCGTCAGAGTCGAAAATTAAGCAACACGATATCCGGTGATTAAACGGGGTCTCGATTTTCCCGGAATTTTACCGCTCCCACGACCCTGGAAACGCGCGAGTGATTTAACGTCAAAGGCGATTAGAGAGGAAAGTTAGTTCTCGCGGCGAAGGGTTCGAGGGTCGTTTCTGAAATGCATCAACTATAGACTGGCTAATGTCGCTAATGGAGAAGGTGGCGCTATGTCAGGTGTGCAGGAATAATTGTCCCGGAGAATTAGCTGGTTATGCGACGACGAATCGATTAGGAGAACAATGTTACTCGGCATTCGTGTCTCTCGTCTTGAAAAGGGAACGTATCTGTCGCGATAATTTGCCGTATGAATTTTGACACCATTCGTCGTTGATCTTGTGGCGTATTAAACGTCACGAGAGGTAATTAATTGTCCTAATTACTACAGAGAGGACTAATAGCATTTTTTTTTTTTAAATTCGAATTTGAAGAAGTGTATCGCTTCAAATTAGATTTTTAAAATATTTTCTCGAACTTTTATCAAGGCTTCTGGACGTAGATTAATGATCAGGTCCGGCTGGTTCACATTTGTCCCCGGGGTATCAAAACGGTATTTTATCAAATTTTTCTGGATGACACGAATCGTTTATTCGTAGGATAACAATATCCTTTCCATGAAAAAGTTTTCTTGTTGGATCATGGCGTGACGAGATAGAGTATACGTTCGAGAGAAGGTCTTATAGAGCGAGTGGACACTTGGCATTTATATTCTTCTTTGAACGGCTCGCTGAAATGGAGCAACCGCTTTTTCCTCCCGATTCCTTTGAGAAGCTCCTCCTTATCGCTCTTGCATCCGAAGGATCTCGAGACGCCTTTTCTGATTTCAATTCAAGTGCGTTCGAATATCGAACGTCGCTTTCACGGTTATTGGATTAAAGGATTAACCTTCGGATGTACGAGGAATTATAAAGTCATCCGGTACCTTTGAAACTCGATACCTTGAGGTATTTCGCTACCTGCTTAATAAATTCCTTCCTTCTGCCGACTTGGAAATATCTTTCTAGAATTCCGACAAATTCTATTTTTTGTACATCATTCTGTACATCATTCCTGTTCAGGCTTAGCAAAAGTCGTTGGCGTTAACCCTCGCGTGTAAACTTTAATCTCTCGTCTAATACTAATCGTACGTGTTAGACGTCTAATTCAACTACCTCGAGGTGTTTCCATCGAATCGCTTAAAAAATCAGGGTTACGGAAGATATCATTGCGCGAGGTGGTATCTTAACGAGCGGCATACGTAAAACCAACACGATAACGAAGAAATAAAAGGTGGTTCGCACCGGAAACGTTCGGAACGTTTCGTAGCTGCACCGATATTCGGAGGTAGAATATCGAGGGATGTTTTTATAAGTTTATACGTATCGATATGATTCCATGCAGCGCGACAAATATTTGAACAATGTACGACTAGATGGAAAACGATGATTGTTAATCGAACCGACTGCCAAACTATATCGGAATGATGCAATTATAGCCGATGCATTTGGTGGCCATTCG